ATGTATTTATCTCATCAACACGCAGACAGCAGCGATAGCGGGATGAAATCCTGAACCTGTGAATCGGGACGTTTCTTTCTGTGTATGGCCTATAGAAGGTAGACAATGTTTGTCTAATTGTTATTGATCGTTATTATATTGCGGTTTCACCTCAAAAGCTAGTTCCCATACCGGGAGTCGAACCCGGGCCGCCTGGGTGAAAACCAGGAATCCTAACCGCTAGACCATATGGGACTTGCGCAATGAAGACGGACCGCCCAGTCATGGAAATGTGCTTTGTGAATAGCTGCTTAAATGATATAGATCTACATTTTAAAACCCCAGTTGTGATTGAATTATGGGACTGCCTATGCTCTTTAGAATAAAATAGATCTTGCTCATATTTCATTGGGGACGCTCCTTCCAGTGGTGAGTTAAATATTATTTACTGACTATATTGCAATAACGACAATATCAGTATTATGAGATTGGTTGTGTATTATCCAGGTCAGTGTATGTTCTGTTTTAATGAATGGCCTATTCTGATTTTCCTTTGTGAGTAACCTGATTTTCATGATAGGGATCTATGTTAAATTAGTAGTTCAAGAGACACAACTGGATCATTTATATTAAACTCCAGCTCTCGTTTCTGTGCAGGGGTTTCATTATCAGCCTAAATGATAACGATTATCCGGTATTTTCCGTTTACAACTTAGAAAACACTTTTCATCCTTTAAAATCCGTGTTCTTTCATTGCAGATCTAATCACAGTAACCTCTCCTATCAGGAAAAATGTTAATTGATCGCATTTTTTAAAAGGTTTATTTCATGAATTCATATTTTATGGTAGACAGTTTAACTTTTCGTCGTTGCTAACAAAGTGAAAAATAATAGCAATAATAATAAAATTATTTTAATTAAAAAACGTATCCAGTTGTCTGGTGGAAGCGGCTCCACACACACTCGGAACCTTCGTTTCCGATTTGTTGACATCCGGCGCGTTTAGATGTTACATCTCCGACGCTTCCCCTGAAACAAGCGAACTCATTCAAGGGTTTGTGAGTGGAGGTAAATTAGTCTAACAAGTGTATTTAATTAGAAGTATGTCGCGGATTTATTGATATATGTTGTCTTATTTTGTATTATAATGTCTGAATGTGGCAGTTGGACTCCTGTACGGACTTCCGGCCCGTTGTTTCTCTGATTGTCGCGTCACTGAGCTAGCATGCTTGCTCGGTATCGCAGCTAACACTAGCTAGCTAATCACCCGGTGTTACGGCAAACAGCCGTCCTTACTTTTGATAATTGCTTTAACCTCATAGTCCAGGAGTGGTTCCTAAACCAGTCTTTTCTTTTTGCAGGTCCTGTGTTAAACGTTAAACGATGTTTTTGACTAGATCGGAATATGACAGGTAGGTGCAACACAAACTGCTTTGTCATTTATTGAGCGCTGCTCAGTGGGGATGAGCAAACTTAAAGAGAGACACAGTTGTGTTCAGAAGTTCTCTGTGCAGGCCACTTTTGATTTTGACTGCTTAACTGAATCTAGAAATACTCTGTGTCCAACCTTTGTTGTAACTTTGTAGCTGTTTGTTGCAGGTAGTTAGTTAGTTAGCAGCGAGTCAAGTTATTGTGCTTTCACTTTCGATCTTTTTTTTTTTTTTTTTTAAGAAACCTTTATTTAACCAGGAAACTCTTATTGAGATTAAAACGTTTATAAGAGGCAGGTAAAACAGTGTGCTCTTTTTAAGTGGTGACTCTAAACACAACCCACACTTAATGAGAACTACATTTATATGTTGGCTGCTCAAATTGTTTTCCACCAACGTTGAACTGATGACCATTATTAATATTCATCCTTATTCACATCTGCCTTCTAGAGGTGTGAACACATTCTCTCCCGAGGGAAGATTGTTCCAGGTTGAATATGCCATAGAGGCTATAAAGGTGAGTATTATGTGCTGAATCCCTTCAGTTTACTTACCAACTCTTCTGTGTGATATTGTGTACTATCCTTGAAAATGAAGCTTATGAGTTTTCTTTGGTCTTGCTTTCCCAGTTGGGCTCCACAGCCATCGGTATCCAGACATCCGAGGGAGTGTGTCTGGCTGTAGAGAAGAGGATCACCTCTCCGCTGATGGAGCCCAACAGCATTGAAAAGATTGTGGAAATTGACACTCACATCGGTAAGAGGAAAGACAAACTTAATGTCGGCTACACAGATAACTGAATCTCAAATTTAGATGCCGACTGGAGACAATTTGGGTATATACTGTAAGTTAACTTGACAATGTAATTAGCTGGTTTCTGTAACCATAAAGTAGATAAAAAGTTGGATAAACAACCCGTTGTTCAATTACACTATATTTATTTTGCATATTTCGCATGTTTTGTTTATTGAAAATACAAACATGTTATACGGAGTCAAAGACCAGGGAAAAACTAGGGGAAACTTAAATGGCCAAAAGTGATTCCTTTCATGTGAGTTTGATCAGGGGCAATGATTACACCCTTATATATTGCATAAGTGGATGGCTGCAGCATGTGCAGGACCTGCAGTTTCTTAATTTTCTTTCTTTCTACCTCAAAGGTTGCGCCATGAGTGGCTTGATAGCTGATGCCAAGACTCTTATTGACAAAGCAAGAGTGGAAACACAGGTATTAATTTGTAATATAAGAAGTTCACTGACCTTGTGTTTTACCTGTGATTAACCTGCACATATTCCTCCTCAGAACCACTGGTTCACTTACAATGAGACGATGACAGTGGAGAGTGTGACTCAGGCTGTGTCCAACCTGGCACTGCAGTTTGGAGAGGAGGACGCTGACCCCGGTGCCATGGTCAGTCACCTAGCTCATCTCCATGCTGAAATACTCACCTGTCATAATGTTTGATGTAAACTAGCATAACCTGTGTTCTTCTCTCTCTGCTCTGTTCTTCTGTGCTGTCACATATACAGAGTCGACCATTCGGTGTAGCACTGCTGTTTGGGGGAGTTGATGAAAAAGGACCCCAGCTGTATGTGAAGACTACTATTTCTCCACCTTTCATACTTGGAATTTTAAACACAAGCATGTTCACCTATAAGTCTGACGTAACCGTTATTTGTTTGTGAATGCAGGTACCACATGGACCCATCAGGAACCTTTGTGCAGTGTGATGCTCGGGCCATCGGCTCAGCGTCTGAGGGAGCACAGAGCTCTCTGCAAGAGGTCTACCACAAGGTACAAACCACTGCATAGTATATTTAACGGGAACATTAGCTCAGCAAATTGTGATCTTGATAAGCTGCTATTTTGTGTGAGTTGGCAAATGGTTTAATGGAATACATTTTTTAAAATGTTCTCAACCAATATAGGCACAAGTCATCTAAATGAAAGACATGTGAATGACCAGGATTGAAGTCTGTATCTTTTCTGTTTGTCCCTCTCTCCCTGGGTCACTGACAGTCCATGACATTAAAAGACGCCATCAAGTCGTCTCTCACCATTCTGAAGCAGGTGATGGAGGAGAAGCTCAACGCCACCAACATTGAGGTTAGTTCCTCATTTCTCACCCAGTTTCTGAATACTTGATTTTATTACATCAAGGTGTTAGTCTTAGCTTGACTTAAATTCGTTTTTTAAGTGTGCACAGGACTGCCAGAGTTTAAATACCCCAGGTTTCATGCAGGCTTTCTCAATCTGTGTCTCGTCTGTAGTTGGCAACAGTAGAGCCCGGGAAGACCTTCCACATGTTTTCCAAAGAGGAGCTGGAGGATGTAATCAAGGACATCTAGAGCAGAAGAGACTTTAAAGTCTTGGTTTGAGTTCTGAGCAGGAGAGGACGTGGACGTACACCTGGGCTGAATGTCACAACACAACCACAACTTTCCATCAGCACATTCTCCTTGCTGCATTCAGAAATTTTTGGATTGCTTAAGAGTTTTCTCTCTTTGTAATGTGCTAATTTTTACTTCTTGTCTCTCGGTATCTGTACAACTCTGTACAGGAGTCTGACCAGCACTTATAACTGAGCGGCAGGAAACCAGGAGGGGTGGGGGGGTATTTTTTGTTACGAATCAGTACTACAATTAAACTTGTATTCAGAAAGTGGTCTGACTCTTTCAGTTTTTGCGTATTTTTTTTGTGTTGTCTTCTTGTTTCAAGTATGATGGTTGTTTGGTTCTAACAGTGGGATCTGAAAGTCTGTCCATTACAAAAAACAATATTTGTTTAATCATTTATCAGAAATGAAAACATATTTATTTTATGGGTTTAAAATGCTTACCATATTATTGAAGAGTAAATGTTGGATGTCATCCCCCATCTTTTTCTCCCACTGTCTCCTATCACTATCAATAAAGGCTAAAATAGCCCCCAATAATATTAAAAAGAAAGTATCAAGTATTTAAATTCACAGCCTTAACCTTTTACTATTACATTTATTATACTTTTCAATGCATCTTTAAATACTTGCATTTTGAACTCTTTTTTTTCACTTTTTAAATTCACATTACCACATAATCCTTTATTTCCCCACAAACAATGTTTCTCCCCACATTTTCCTTTCAATTATAGACAGAAAAGTAAATTAAATTATTTTTTAAGCTTTGAGCTTCTAATGTGACATTTAAAAATGGTGCTATTTATATGTTAATATGTGTAAATAATCAGGCACCTCTTAAATCATTTCTTGGGGAGACAAAACACAAAAGTTGTACTTTCACTTAGGTTCACTTAGGAGACTTTTCCTATTGTGGGAAAACTCTTATCCTTCAGACTGTTATGGTTTTGTTCTGTTTCTTGGAATCATTAACAAATTCAAATAATAAATTCTCCATTACGAGACAAAACATTTTTCTGGTCTTTGCGCCGTCTTTCCACAAGGGGGCAGTGTAACACCAGAAAATATCTGACATCTCAGTTTAGGAGGACTCCTGCCGTCCAATGAGATTGCAGGTTATTCTGGTCCTGACCAATCGCTTGCCGCGGTTGATGGGCCGTTATTAAAGATGCATTTGGTGGTGGAAGGGGTGGGGGTTAGGGGGACGCAAAGTGTCGGGACACAAGTTGCTCGCTGAGTCCAAAGTTGGGCAGTCTTCTTGTAAACATGAACCCCGTTTCTTGCGTGTTGGCGCTCGGGTTGTTTTGGTCTGCGCTGGGCACAGACTTCCACGAGGGAGAAAACGTTGTCAGGGACAAGGAGCGACATGGTTTAGAGAAGTCGGAGCTCGCCAAGAGCAGCGCAGGACTGAATGAACAGACATGTACAGCTCTGCCTGGAGTAGAGGCAGCCCTACTAAACAACACACATTCTGTAAGTGACTTATGCGACTTTCTTTTTACCCGCCATTGAGAAGTGCCACTAAACTCTCTGAAGAGGGGAAGTAGTCTTTGCGTGTTCCTGAGTGCTACTTTAATGTGTGTGTGTGTGTGTGTGTGTGTGTGTGTGTGTGTGTGTGTGTGGTCACTCAGCACATGGAGGTGCTTATAATGTCCAGACTGTAAACAACGACTCAAATAGATGCACATCATTTAACAGGAGCTTTTCTGATGATACCAGATGAGAGGTTCTGATTGGACAGCTTCCTGTAATGTGAATGATGTGAGATGTGAGTCCTGCATCTGTAGAAATAAGAGGTGAAACGATTAGTCGATTAATTGATCAGCAGAAATTTAATTTGCAACTGTTTAGAGTCCATTGGAATCTACTTTCAAGCAACATGCCAAACTTCTGATAGTTATAGCTTCTCAAATGTGATGACTTTGTGCTTTTCTTTGTCTTAAAATGTAGATAAATTACTATAATTTGGTTCTGGACAGAAAAAGATGTCACCCTGAGCTCTAGAACATTGTAATGGTGATCTTTTGTCCCAAATTTCTGGCGTTTCATCAACCAAACAATTCATTGGTTAAATGGTTTAAAATAATGATTAATTGTTGCTGCAGATCATAACTTCAAATTGCTTATTTTGCCTATATTCTCAATTATGTCTATTATCTATTTAATGTGCCTCACTCAACTGATTCATTGTAGTCTGTAAAAAATGTAGCCTCATAGCCCACGGCTGTCAATCTGTCAGTTTATTTTTGCTGAAACCAGAGAATGCTTAGCATTTTTACATTGAAAAATGACTCAAACGGTTAATCAATTATCGAAATAGTCGACACTTCATTTGCTGTCATGGACTAGGGCGACTACACTAAATCAGTCGCCTAATTGTTGCATCTGTAATCACATTCACAATGATAGGAAATATAGAAAATCTGAAAATACTGGAGAAAGTGGAATTGCTGAAATAATCTATAGTCAAAATAGATGCCAAAACAATCGCCATATTGTTTCCACTCTATCTGTTACACTCCTTTTTAATTGATCTGGATTAATCTAGGTCGTCATTCCTGCTGACTCTGGGTTATCACACTCTGATGGTCTAATGATGCGCGCTGAATGGAAACCGTAACTACAGAGATTCCTAAACATTTAGTTGTGTTCTTCCAGCCTGGCAACAGGAGGGATAGTCAGGTGATATTTGTATGTTGATGTCGTCCTCCATACAGGACTAAAAAAAAGGAACCACTCCTGCTGTTTCTGTGGTATTTTGTACCTGTGATCTAGATCAAATGCAATCCGTCTCATCTTAACCCTGATCCTACCTTATAATAGACCAAATGACTCCTTCTGTTATTTTATTACTGAACATGTTGTAATAGGAAGCACATGAAGAACAACCCGAATGTCAAGAGGAATGTTCAAGAATAACAACTTGGTCCAAAGCTACAGAGCTCCACAGGACAGTCTTCCTGTTTTGTGTGTGTGCGTGTGTGTGTTGGTGAGTGATGGAAGAAGTGAACGTTACATCATTTCTGTGGCTCAGACACCTGGTCTAGCTTTTGAGCATGAAAACGATTCGGCGTGCTCACAGAGAGCTGACTCCTCCCGTCTCCTTTGGGCTTTTCTCCCTCACAAACATTCCCCACGATTTTTCTGCTGGACTTGATCTGAGCCCCAGTGTGGACTTAAGTCTGAGTTTTCTGTCATCAGACAAGGTGGCGTGAGCATTTAGTATATGGCTCTGAATGAATAGATCAGACAAATAAAACCTATTCTTACGCTTCTTTTTGTGCTATTTTAGGCCTGATAGAGTACACTGGATGTGTTTTATGTTTGTGTAAGGTTCATTTAGCTGACTCTTTGGTTTACAAACTAGCTTGCTGTTTCTTCCCCCTCACCCCCCTCTCCTTACTCTGTTCCGTTCGCTATCCCCGCTGGCCAAAAAAACGTAGAGAAAAAAACATGTTCTGTTCTCAGGGTGAAGCGTAACTGGGTCGCAGCCAGCTGTTGGAGCACCAAGAAAAGCAGCAGAGATGATGTTCCACATGGTGCGAGAGGGACAGGGGTAGAGAGGGAAAGAGAGCCAGAGTTATGGAAAGTATGGGTTTGTTGATGTACCGGGAGAGACAACAAACTAGTGAAAATAGAGAAGCACTTGTGGACTTATACGTGTATAATCCGTGTTTGCATTTAATTGCATCCACTCTCCACCGGTCAATAAGCGCACAGAAAATGAATCAACAACAATTTTCTGAAAGTCAGTTTCCATCTCGAGCTTCTCACATGTGAGGATTTGCTTTGATGCTTTGAGCTAATAGCTAACATGCTCTCAGTGACGATGTTAAGATGCTGATGTTTAGCAGGTTACCATGTTAACCATCATAGCCGGTTAGAATAAACACATAGAACAGCTGAGGCTTATAGGAATATTATTTGTCTTGTAGATATTTGGTCATAAACCAAAGACAAACTGAAGGTTTTGACCTGATAATGTTGTTATATAACATGCTAAGGAATCACCAGAGTTATTACAATTCATCCTGACGGGAACATGAATGTGTGAACCAAATTGAATGGAAATCCATCCGGGAGTTGTTGAGATAATTCAGTCTGGACCACGGTGGTGGTTGCCGTCCCTCGAGCCACGCTGCTACCATGGGTAAAAGCAAGTGAAACAATTAATTGATTATCTAAATAACATTCTGTTTTGACTAATTGATTAAGCAACTAATCATTTCTGCACAAGATTGAAATTGTGATTTATTTTTTTTTTATTTTTTTTTACTTTTCCTTACATTTTATATACTGAACAGTCAAATCAATAATCGGCATGATATGTTGTAGTCATCCACTTCTGCTCTTGTAACAGTAAGTATCGAATGGACAACCCAGCTTACGTCTCTGCCCACAAAGCTTAGCCCAGCATCATAGGATTGGGCTACACCGCTTCATCTGTTAGATCAGAGCCAAGAGTGTTTGACCCCCTCTTCTGAAGTTTTATGTGTGTAAACACGGCTGCAGCAGGAAGGTTAAAACCCAGAGCAGAAGGAATAAGGAGCTCATTGTGTTGCCATCTGACCTCTGAGAGAGGACTTCACTGTGCTCCCACCCACCGACACTGTATTACTGAGTCTGCGTGGATATATGTGTGTGTCTGTTCATGCACAGTAGTGTGTGTGTGTGTGTGTGTGTGTGTGTGTGTGTGTGTGAGAGAGAGAGAGTGTGATACTCACTTGTGCAACATTGTTCACTTTTGAAAGTTTAATGTACTAACACACCTTGAATGCCAGAGTTTCATGAGTTGAGATGCAAATGGAGCTCAGAGGAGCCTTTTTCAAAGCAGATGTGAGCCTTTAAATGCAACATGTGATACAGCATGAGGTCATGTCTGGTTTGTGAGGCCATGTCCATCCAGTTCAGACATTTATCTTTGATTTTTATTTATTTTTTTGCTGACTAATGAGTGTCTTGTCTTCCCTTCTCTGCGTCCTTCTACACTTCTGGTTTTCCCATCACAGAACAGAACAGAGTCATCTTAAGCTCTACCTTGATTCCCTTTTCCGTTCCCTATCACGTGAGGCTCCGTTGCCCTTCCTCCAGTGAGATAAGACAGCAGACTACCATACTTTTCACTCAGACACAGCTTTCTCAGCCTTTTGCTTCAGTTGACCTGCTGTATAATGCAGTTGTTGATTGTTTGGGTTTCAGTCTCAGTGAGCTGTAGCTGGTCAAGTCAGCATTTGTCCAGTCAGGGTTTCAGGGAACAGATGTGGAAAACACCCCACTGGTTAAATTGAACACAGGTGTGCAGGCAGCTGGAAGAAGCATTTTCAAAGGCCTGATCTTAAGTCAATAGACAACATGAGACCTGTTGACCTGCAGTGACCTTGTCTGTTGTCATTATGACTGGACTAAGCATGCTAACATGCTAAACTACGGCGATGAACATGGTAAACATTATTCCGGCAAAAAATTCAGCATGTTGACAGTGTGAGCATGTTCGCATGCGCTGCTTTGCCTGAGTACAGACTCCCAGAGCTGCTAGCGTGGCTGTAGTCTAGTTTAGTATCTTATATAATGCTTTACTTTCCTAATTCACCAATCATTTCACTTGAATTTTATTAGTTTCTCAAATTAGAACTCCTGTACACATAGTTGTGTAGTCTCTGTATTCTGAAACAAGAACTGATAGTTCTCTGTATGTTTTTACTATTAAGTATGTTAAGAATATTAAAATCAGTTGGTTTTGTAGAAATCTTAACTTTCAGTGTGTTTATTCCAGACGAAACAGCAACATCATTAATTTACATAATATACACCTTCTAAAAAGCCAGTTATAATCTTAAAGATACATATTATGAGTCATAAAGCACAGACAATCAGGCTAAGACCAGGAAATGGCTTTGTTTAATTATAGTCTATTAAACTGATGTTTTCGTTGTTTTGTCAGCCACCTGTCACACTGTTGTTGAACATGATAATTATTGTAACTTAACGCTATGACACGTCACCAGTTTTGTGAATGGTTTTTAGATCTGCATGTATATTTAGATGGAGGGGCAGATAAATATTCATAGTTTGCCCACTTATTTTGTTCCGGTGACAAAGGCATTTAGCATTATGAGTGAAACGTTTGATTTTCGTTTGAGTCCAGACCTAAGTCCTGCTTAAACCTCAAGTGTGACCAAAACACATTTAACTCATATCTACAAACCATAATAATACTTTACTTTTTAAATGTTTTATTTGGCAAGTATGTCTACTATTGCATAAATGAAAAGGGAAAAGAGCAGGAAAAAAGAGGTTGAGAGAGAAAACTGACATGTAATAATGTTCCTTGGACAGATTTGAAGCCAAAACACTGTGGTTTAATGGTATGAGACTGTTGGGAGGACAGGACACATCATTCTTCACATTTTTGAACTGATCAACAGATTAATCAGATGACTGCAAAGGAAGAGCGGAGGAGCTGTCAAGCAAGCAATCCAATGATCAATAGATGAAAGAATAAGTGGGTGCTGCGAGGGTGTGATGAAATGATTAATGTAGAGGAGAGATGGAAAGTTGTGTTCAGTCCAGTTTCCACTGGACTTATTTACAAGGAGTTTCCAGTAGGCAGACCTGGCCGTCTCCTGTGGCTTTATAGAGCTGTATGCAGACTCTCCAGGGCTGGGCTCACCTTGTAAACATCTCTGCTCTGCCAGTAAAACAGAGGAGGGGAGAAACCTTACTCAGACTCCAAACAATGTGAACTGTGGCTAAATACGTTGCTGAAATGACCAAACACTTCACTCTGGATAAAAAGACTGGAATGTTGTTTTCACTTTCAACTCAATACCTCTGATATTATGCACTGAGGGTATTTTTTTGATTTTATTTTGAACTCTAAATCTTCTATATAAGAAATGTATTAATAAATGTATGACAAGTAAGGTACATTTTTGTATTTTGTTTAATGTCAGAATAGAATACCGTCAGTCTACTGTATCTGTATGTGTGTTCTTGCTGTGCTCGGGACATCAGTAATTGTCTTGTTCCCTGGCCTCAGCTTTGTCATTTAGGCAGGAATGTAGGTCACACACGCAGAGTGCATCCAAATGGCTGTGTTACTTTGGACAGTAAGGACAGTTCATTCTGTCTCTTCGGCTGCTGTGTATAGCATCGGAAACAAACTCACAAACTTTCTTTTGTTCTGTGTGTTTTGTATAACTGTTTCTCAAACGTTTTACACCACCAATATTAGGCTCTCCCAGTACCACCATTATGACCAACATTGAACTACACTAGTGCTGGCCGACCCTATTCCGCTACGGACAGTTCAGGCAGGAGGCAGGTTGAATCCTGCAGTTAAAAAAAAAGCCATCACAGTTTAGCTCGTAACTAATTATGGATGTATGGATGCTACGTTCATGAAAATGACTGCGTAGCTGGCTGATATTGAAACAAAAAAATACAGGAGCGGCACAACTTATTTTAAATTACATTTTTAATAGTAATAGTTTACATATTATTATTCAAAATTTGATAGTACATTTTTTAAAAATGTTTAAATAGTTTGAGAACCCGTGTTTTAAACTAAACTCTGGACTCTTGGGTGGGTATTCTTCAGTTGATGTCCTGACACATTAAATGGACTGTACTTGTGTAGCGCCTTTCCAGTCTTCCGATCACTCAAAGCGCTGTACACTAAGTAATCCATTCATACACATTCACACATCGATGTACAGCATTGGGAACAATATGGGGTTCAGTATCTCGCTCAAGGACACTCTGACGTGCAGCAGGAGAAGCCGGGGATTGAACCGCCAATCTTGCGATTAGTGGGAGACCCAATCTACTTCTTGAGCCACAGCTGCCACATTAAGCAATATACATCATATCAAACTCAGAAATATTTCAAATAGTCCTACATGGTGGAATTAAACTCTATATTATTACTGATTGATGGTTTTCTAAAAACGTGCCCTTTTCTTTTCAGTTTACCTTCGAAGTGGGAAGAATGGGTTCGCTGTCACTGGCCTGGGTGGGAGATGGATCAGGGGTGAGTTTGTTCACATGATTGAAAATATATAACTGTAAAAAAAACAAAAGTCAAATTAAGAGAATCCAAGACGTCGTACAGATTGTTGTGTAACTCCTCCTGCTCTCCTCTCCTAGGTGCTGCTGGTCTTGACGACATTTCAGGTGCCGTTGTTCATGATGCATTTCGGCCAGTCTAACCTCTACAGGAGGTGAGAAATGCCCGATGGTTGATGAAATCGCTAAATGAAAATAGAGCAGTAAATAATTTGTCATAGCTGTGGTCTGAGGGTCTAACTGCAACCTTGTCACTGTGTCAGTGAAGACTATGGGAAGTCATTCAAGGATGTGACTCACCTGATCAACCACACCTTCATCCATACTGAGTTTGGCATCGCCAGCAGCCCTGACCACTCTGGCAAGGTGAGCTGTTTGAGGACAGCAAAAGTGTTATTCTTAGTGCTGAAGATGCATACCTTCACACTGCTCCTTACACTTACTGACACTGGAATTTATGTGGTTTGTGGTTTGTCTATAAAGTACGTACCTTTGCTTCACAATAATGCAACAAATCATAAAGCTCCGCACTCTACCGTCTTTCCTTAGAGCTCCTCTCTGTGTTTGGTTTCAGGTGATGCTCACCGGTGACGTGTCAGAAATCGGGGGGTTCCGGCTGTTTCGCTCGAAGGACTTTGGCATGACTTTTGTTCCAACTGACCTGCCATTTGAGCCCCACATTCAGATGTTGTACAACCCAGGAGACTGCAACACACTTGTGACACTAAGTATCACGGTAGTAGCGTTGATGCTTTAGACTAAACCTCTAATCTTAGAGATTTAATGAACTAAACTAATCTGGACCTACTTACCACATGCTTCTATTTCACTGAATACTCAAAAGTCAGTGGATACTTTTTTTTACTGAGTCTTTTCCCTCCAGTTGGACCTGTGGCTGTCTGAGGACTTTGGTGCCACCTGGAGGAAGATCCATGACAGGGTTTGTTTGGTCAGATGGTGAGAATTGCCCTCTACATCATCTGTCAGTTTTGTAATAACTTCCAAATACAGAAAAGAAATGTGGTTTCTTGTTGGTACCTAATATGTAACAGATTGTATATTGAAGTACCAAGACATTAGGGACTGTTAGATAATTATTGAAGTGGTGAGTTGGCCTGAACCTTGTGTTTTTAAAAAAAAAAGCAAGGTTATCCATTTATTGCTGATCCTTCCTCTGGTTTCAATATATGTTAATGGGACAGTATATTTTACATATTCGCAAAAGTGGAATTAGAAATTGCCAAAATTATGGTTAACATATATAGTGTTTTTTTATGTACCCAGCATTCCTGATCCCTATTTTTGAACTAATTAAACAATTACTAAATGTGCATGATATCATAGGTTAACTCTTTGTGATGCATTTAACTTACTTTAGTTCAAAGCGCTGGTGACTGCTGGCTAGTGTAAAAAGGGTGCATTCTTTAGTGAGAGAATATAACTAACTAAAACCTACATATTGGACACGTCTTCCGTGGTGGATCCGTGGCGCGCACACAGCAGTAAATCAGTAAACAGTAAATCTCGCTAGAAACAGATACAATTAATGTGTATTTCTGGGGCATGGAAAAATTTAAGAACAGCTAAAATAAAAAACAACAACAAATCTGATTACCCTCCCTTCAGTAAAATAAAAATGGATAACCACCTCCACCACTAATTCGTATACAGAGAGTGAACCTACAGTAACCTTTTATATGTCATTCATTTTTGTGATTGGTTTAGAGTGAAAAGCCACATAAAACACTGTCCATCACTGACAGGGTGTGAAACAAATTGCCCGTGTTTGTTTCCACACAGCCTACATATGCATTTTTTCTTTTGGTATAACAGGAGTTTATGTGTGTGTTCTTTGTCCATTGTTGTTATTCCAGCTGTCTTGCTTACCACAGTTTGGATCACTCTCCTGACTCTGGTTTCCTTTGGGCACCAGAGTTCACATGAGGTTGTGGTGTCAGCCTGCGGTTGTTAGCGCTGCATTGTGGGAACATTGTGATAGCTCTGCAAGACCACAGCTGTCATTTAGGCCCCAACCTAAATTGACTGCAGAGCAAGGGAGCTGAGGCTGCTGTCAGAGTGAATCATGAGTCAGCAGCGGCATTCTTATTCAGCCCACAGTCCTTGAACCAGCAGAATCTTGTGCAGTGTGAAAACCTTCGTCCCTTTTGGCAATGAACAAAACCAGAGAGGGCTTGGAGTGCAGCCTATGGGTCGATGCGCGCCTTGCTCACACAGCACTTGGATGCAACCACAACCATAATCTGTGATCTCTACAAATTCCAAAAGTGGATTTACATTTGAACTCAGACAACTTTCAGATGTTAAAGAATGTGCGCACAATTAGATTTTTCCTTTCTCCAGATTCCTTGCTTTACTGTTTCTTTTTGTCACGCACAGGGGTCCAAAAAACAGCATCTACTTTACAACGAACTATAATGGATCATGCAGTAAGTAAAGACAATATAGTCATACATATAGATGCAACTAAGGAATACATCTAGTAACTCCACTTACTTTCTGTTAGATGATAGAGGAATGTTGGCGTTGAGGAAGACGGCAGACTATGGTCGAAGTTTCAAGACCATCGCAACAAGAGTTTACTCCTTTGTACTGGGAGGGCGCTTTGTCTTTGCTTCCATTATGACCGGCACGGTATGTTTGAGCATGTGTCTTTGCTTCTTGGCCTTTTATTAAGAGCACAATGTGTGTGTTTCTAGTAATCTGCCTTCATCTGTTTTTATGATGAATACAGTATCTCTTTATGCACTTGTGTTTCTTCAGACATCTGTGTCACCCAGTAAAATATCTGTACAAATGTTACCCCCCTCCGTGCATTTTACGAGCTGCTAGCAGGCCATTCCACCCAAATTACAAAAAACATATTTTCTCACTCACTCCAAGTGGTATCTAGCCATTCAAATAGTTTCTGACCCCACGTAGAATGCAATCTGTAGCTGGATAGGAAAGCATGTGTTAATGCCAGGTGTAAATGCATGCAGTATGCTCTGTGATGGGAATGTGATCAGATCAGCCAAACCACATCAGGAGGTGGTCTGGCTCATATTGTGATCAGATCTCAGCCAGGTATGAAAGCAATCCGTACAGCATGAACACATTATGAAAGAAATTTGCCCAGCCAGTTGAAAGGTCACCTAACTCCACCTACACCTGCTGGCATAAGATGCAAGGCTAAAGCTCAATTTAGGAGCTGTAGCTAGGAAGTGTTCCCTCCCAACAAGTGACTTAAAAACGAATGAATGGCAGACCCACCTAATTTTCATACCAATAAAGATAACAGAGATCTTGATATTTTTCTTCCAAATACAGATCATATGATAATAAGAGGTGTACATGGGATATAAAGCATTTGTACATATTAAACTCCTGAAACATGCTATTATTATGCAGATGAAGTTTTTTTTTTTTTTTTGTGATTTAGCTGTACTGACCCTTTAACATGGCATATCTGCACCTTTAAGTAAATTAGCTGCATCTCTAACTTGTTTTTGTAATTTTCTTTTTATTGCTTTTCAAAAGAAGTAACATCACACAGAACAAAGACATCATATTCAGAAAAGAAAACAATAAAACTATTAACATGAATAAAGAAAGAAAGATCATTTCTTCTTTATTCATTGACATTACCTATCATGCTGCTATCACTTGGAACCATTGTAACAATAATATATACATCCTGTATCAGAATAATAGTAACAATCAGGGCAAGTATTACTGAACATATACAGTAGCTACTATTCACATGTCCAATAATAATAACACAAATCGGGAAATCACATTACATTGCTACCATTCACATCTAAATAATTGACTTCCACTGCTACGACTACTCTATTGGGCAAACCTCATCATAGAGTTATCCTTTAATGTGTCCTATGTCAGTAAGACTGGCAATAATGAATGTATAGCAGATCCATACTTTCAGTTATTTAACATTTTCTTCTAATTATGTTTGCTTGTATGTGTGTGTCTTAGGGTACAGAGCGTATGATCCATGTGTCAGTGGACGGAGGTGAGGTGTGGAACATGGCTCAGCTTCCTACAGTCAACCACGAGCAGTTCTACTCCTTCCTGACAGCCAATCAGGACATGATATTCATGCATGTGGATGACCCTGGAGGTCAGAACCAGTGAGGATGCTGATTGTGATGATTGATGTGAATGTTGATGTTGACATTGTTGGTATTTACAGATGATGCTAATAATTAACAATAATGATAATACAGAATAACCTTAAAGAGTGTGTGTGTGTGTGTGTGTGTGTGTGTGTGTGTGTGTGTGTGTGTGTGTGTGTGTGTGTGTGTGTGTGTGTGTGTGTAGACTCTGGTGCTGGAACCATCTATGTGTCAGATGACAGGGGTGCCGTGTTCTCCAAGTCTCTGGAGCGCCATCTTTACACGACCACAGGAAGCGACACTGACTTCACTGTTATTACTTCACTCAGAGGAGTCTACATGACCAGCATACTCTCAGAGGGTGGGTCTGCACACTGTGTAACATGTACCTACTTGTTTAAAAGCAATCTTCTGGTTATTTTTAAATAGCATTTTTAAAAAAGTCTGCAGTCTGGGCTTAAATAAAAAGTATAAAAATAAAAATAAATTATTTTTGCAGACGGTGTAGTGGAAACAGTGATCACCTTTGACCAAGGAGCAAAATGGCAGACACTGCGCAGACCACAGAACAGCCACTGTGACACTGAGACCTCAACTAACAGGCCTAACAGAGTGAGAGACACATACACACTTAGATTTATATAAACTATATTTAAATATACTTTTTGTTTCATTTCCATTATGTCTGGTGTGTTTTTATGTATGAAATGAGGCTGTTAAAGTAATTTTATTAAATCTGTTTTGTTGTTTTTCATCTGAAACTATGTGATGTAGTACCAATGTTAGCCTAATTATTGTTTCCTTACAGTGCAGACTTCACATCCATGCTTCCTACAGCACCACCATAAAGATGAACGTCCCCATGCTGCCTCTCTCACAGCCCAGTGCTGTGGGCCTCATTCTGGCCCATGGTAAAAAAAAAGAACCCAAAAAATCGTTATTAATAATTTCACTGCATGGTAAACGTCTTTATAACACCATTGCGCTCTGTTTCTCCAGGAAGCGTTGGAGACGCAGAGTCAGCTCTCTCCCCTGACGTGTACGTGTCTGATGACGGTGGTTACTCATGGCTGTTGGCTCTCAAGGGCCCCCATCATTATACCATACTGGACTCTGGAGGGCTACTGGTGGCTGTGGAGCACACCGACTTACCTGTCAACCAGATCAAGTGAATATGACTGAGCATACTAGAGAAGTTGTTTACTGTAGTTCTGTCTTTTTATCACTTGCCAGGTTGAAGTTTGTAAACTTGCCATTCTTTGCCCACCAACACCCTCAGGTTTTCAACAGACGAGGGGCAGTGCTGGCATACGTATAACTTCACCAGCAACCCTCTTTACATCAGCGGTATGGACAGTGAGCCTGGCTCTCGCTCCATGGACGTCAGCCTGTGGGGCCACAGGAACGACCACAGTAAATGGGTGGTGATCACCATAGACTTCAGAAAGCTCTTCACCAGAGAATGTGAGTGTGTGTGAGAATATGGGTGATAACTGGTTGGTGTAACGGGAAGTACTTAGAATGTTTGTGTATATGTATGTGCAGGTACTGAAGGGGACTATATACAGTGGCTGGCTCACTCTGCAGACCCCAGTGGATCTAATGATGGCTGTGTGCTGGGCTTTAGAGAGACCTTCTTACGCCTGAGGAAAGACACTGTCTGCTGGAACGGGAGGGACTATGCTGTCACTAAGAAACTGTCCCCTTGTCCATGTACAGGGGATGATTATCATTGGTATGTTCTGTGAAATATCAAAAAAGAACAAGTCTATTTTCATCCTGCACTTAGTGTAACCATGAGATTAACTGAACCAACACCACCAACACACGACTCTTTGTGTTGTTTCATTAACTAAGAAAAGCAGATTCTTGTTTCAGTTGTACCAATCAGCTACAGCTGAACAAGTATGTGTTTAGTTTAATGGATTTTAAAGGAGGTTTATCAGAATGTAATTTTCCCAAACCCACAGAGCAATAAACTAAAGATTAACAACTTTAAACTGAGGGCTTTATTTTTTACATGCAAAAAGATTTATACAGTTACAGTTATACAGTACTGTCTCAATAAATATGTAAGAATGCCATATAAGTTTCTGCTTTGTCTTACAGTGACTTTGGATATTACCGTCCAGAGAACAGCTCAGAGTGTGTGGAACAGGAGGAGTTGAAGGGCCGTCCTCTGGAGTTCTGCTTAAATTGGACTACTGAACAGCTCCAGTCTAGTGGGTGAGAATGCCAGATTTTTTTTGGGTGCCTTTAATTTGTCAGAACAACTGAGAAGTGACAGGAAAGTGGGGAGAGAGAGGGGGATGGTGTGCAGACATAGGTTGGAATCAAACTTCCTCTGCTCTTTTGCTCTAGTTTAAGAGACAAGAAACTGGAACTTATACAAAATGTTGAAACTGTATGCATAATTATGATAATGTCAGTTACAGGTCTGTCAACAGTAATCCAGGTACAAGCACTGTAATAAATGGCGAGCACCTCACTTCCAGAATCCCATTACAGATTACGCATTTAGGCTAAATGTTGGTTAGTAGATTTCCATTTCTGCAGCTCTTGTGCCTCTACACCTCCCTCCATTAGTGGTATGAATCTTATCTTCAGTTTACCAGCATGTCCTGCCCTTTGTCCTTTTCATTGAGTTTTGTCTTGCCTTTCATGTCTCTGCGTCTTCTTACATAGCTACCGGAAGATTCCAGGTGACAAGTGTGAGGGAGGTTTCCAGCCAGACAGGAAGGAGACAGACCTGAAGAGGATGTGCACCAGCAACGCCCTTCGTCCTAATTCTCTGGTCAGTTCTGCTCATTTACAGAAAGAGACAGGGTGGACTAACTACACAATAGAATGCCATCTACCTGGTTACATATTGAGACATCCTAAAAAAACAGGGGAACCTCTGATCTTCAGCATGGTCAACACTAAAGGTGTGAGTGAGCCATGTTATCAACCAAATGTACTGCAGGTTTTGAGTTAATGAATCCATCCACTACTGGTTTTCAAATGTGTTTTTGTGCATCGAGATACAAGATACAAGAGCAGGTGATGGCACTACAGCTGAGAGAGTGACGCAGTGTATGTATAAAGGTGTAATTTCTTCACATGTTCAGCCCTTTCTGTTTCTGTAACTCTTAACAGACTGAAAACAGTTCACCAAACACTGCCGTCATAGTGATGGTTGTCATAGTGATCCTTCTGATGAGTGGCGTTGCAGGCGTTTGGCTGGTTAAGAAATATGTCTGTGGAGGACGGTCAGTTAACTGTTTCATCTTTCTACAAACTCGCAAATAAACAGTGTACATACTGAATTTCAACTGTGTTTGTTTTCTAATGTGCATTATGTCCTCATCAGGTTCCTTGTGCACCGATACTCTGTTATGAGGGAACATGTTGAGGCTAATAAAATAGAAGGGGTCGATGATATTGACCCTCACTACATGGAGACAGGAAAAGCACAGTACAATGAAGACTCAGATCAGGTAGCAGATACTGTTTAAAAAGCACATTTTGTAGTTAAACTTTGATTAAACTATGATTATCTATGAACTAATATGCCTTGTTTGTCTCCCCACAGGACCTCTTAGAATAAGGTGGACATTTCTCCCCACTCAAAGGCTCTTCAAGACTAAATTTAATGCAGTCTTTCGTGGTGCCTGGGTGCTCCTGTTGCTCCCACATGCTGATTAACATCTTCTTCTCACTTCTCCCTTTCCCCTGGTGGCTGGAGGACTCAGCAGCAACTCACATTGCTTACTTGTGCCAGTTGAGTCTCCCACAAAAAGGCGAACCGGTGGTTTGGGGAGGGGGACAAACCCTGCGCAGAACAGAAGAAAGCCTCTGGGGTCCCCGGAGAGCTTTTGTTGTTTCTGTCACAAAGAGTTCCGTAAAGACCATCGAGTCTGAATATGTGCTCTGTTGTGCTCTGTATGTGTCCTTCCATGCTGACCTGAGAAAAGATGGTCTTTCATATCGTGATGCACTGCAGATGCACCACACGGAGGCTACGACTCGGACTCATAGAAAATTAGGGAAAGACTTAGGGTACAGCCAAGAATACAGAAAATAACAATTCGTATTTTAGCTCAGAAGTTATGTCTGCTGTCAATTAAGTAGTTTATTTACTCAATAAATGTAAAACTTGCAAGAAACATTCCTGTTGTGTATGGCGGCCATTTTAACATTCATCTTGTGAGTTTCACCAGTCATTAAAATTAGGAACCATGAGTTATTTTAGAAATGAGCAGTTTTTAATTTTAATAGCAACTACTGAGAGCACTAGTGCGTCCTTTAATGCTGCTGGTCTCCATTTTGACTAGTAGTGTTTGTGTTTTTACCGTACACTGTTTTTTACAGGTAAAAAATGAGCACAATTTTGATAGTATTCCATCAGGTGGTGCACTTTTCACATAACCCTTCAGTACACTATAATGTTTGTTTTAATGTAACTGGAAGTTCTTTCTTATTTTACGCCACCATTTCACTTTTTAAAGTAGTTAATATAAAATCATTACAAATATATTAATAGTCCAATATTATTCAAATATGTCAACATTTTTGTTTTTATCATTTTAATTATTATTAAAAAGTATTGTTAAGTTTAAATAGATAGAGGAGTTGGACTCAAATGTAGCAGTAACAGAACATAAAGATAAGTACAAATACTGTTTAAGACAGTTGCTATTGAATATGCAAAGATTATTATTAAAAGTGATTACTAGTGCTTATTTTAGACCAACTATTATTAGCTACCAGATAAAGTATGTTGAGAAGAAAGACACAAGAATGAAATAAATACTAGTCTTTAAATTTTAGTGCCTAGTGAAATAAATGTTAAAAGGGCCTGCCATTGTTCTGAAGATATAGAGTGCAGCTTCATACAACCAATCTTTTCTGCTCCCCTGTATGTGGTGAAAATGAAAGACTTGAATTATTGCCAAAGCACTTTTGTTTTTTAGTTTTCTCATTTAAGAGGTGAGTTTGTAGAGGTGAAACCTAACCTTAGCCCAGCATTATATGAGTATGAAGGTAATGCTAACCCGAACCCTTTACTTGAACTTTCTGATATTTCTGTGTAACCAGATGCATCAATATGTTACTGTTGTTGTGGTTGTTTTTATTATTTGGCTGATATTTTCCCCTTATCAGCCAATACCAATATGCATTTGTCTAATGATCTTAATGCATGTGCAGGCATAATCATCAAGATAATCAAATGTTTTTCAATGATCATCTTGTGTCTGTTTCTAATATGACAGTAGACAAATAGTCACAAAATGCTGTTATAATATAATATGAATTTAAAGCTACTATTAGCCAGTATTGATTGATTGTCTTTAGATATATTTGTGCATCCCAATTTAATAATCTCAAATATGTTGCAAAATATCCACAATAACAGAACTAATTTATCAGATTAAGGTGTCTGGTGGCCATAAAGAGCATAAACTTTATTAAATGAATTGAGTTACATCTTTTCCCCACACTTCTCTGTGTTATATGAATTGTTTAGATGAGATGTTGGCTGGCTACCATTCCTATCGTCTGCGATGTAAGAGCTGTAGCTTTTGACACATGCAGGCCAATGCTTGTTTTCTCCAGCAGAGTCAATAATATCCCAGCGAATAAGCTACTGTAATAAGCTGGCCTAATATAGAGGCATATTCTCAAGGACTGTTGGGTGGACTGTCAGATATGAAAGCAACTTCATATGCTCGATGCTTCTTTATTTACGCAACTGTCAGTAAGAACAAACCCAGATATTTACTGGATTCAATGATTTATTTTTGCACTGTATCTACAGATCTGTGAAAAAGTTGCATTTGTGCCTCCTTGTACATTTATTGTTTGAGGGCCATGATTTGTGATCTTCATTCCTTCTTGTTTTTCTTTACTGTTTGCCAGAATATCAGAGATGAGAATCTCTGAAGTAAACTATTCTGTAGCACAGAATTGTTTCATAACAATGTTTGCATTTATTGAATGAAATAACACTTTCTCTTTTACATCAGCTCAGTTGTGTTTGGATTTTGTTAATGCACCATTTCTACAAATTGATTGATTCAAAGCCCTGCAATATAAATTAAGAGTATGCTCATTGCAAAATGCAGCCTACTAATGTACAAGCAGTCATTTTCTTAAGTATTACTTTAATGAGAACTTTTCAAAATGGTCTTAGTGTTCAGTACATGTTGTATTGTTGTTGTAACCTTGAAGGGAGAAGGTAATGTACAAGGACACAATGCCCTCCTTCCTGCAGTCACAACACTACGATGGAGCTACACCAAGGCAACAAACATGATTAAACAATCACTATGATTATTTATTTTTTTATTTCTGAACATTAGAATAAGGCACCCTTTATAAAAGGTTTGTTAAGTTGTAGCTACTGAGTTTATTTGTAGTAAGAAAAATTATTTACTATTGCTTTACAGATCAGATCTTAGCCATTTCTAAGACACAGGCAGGATGTGAAAAATCACTTTGTTTCTTATTAATGGCTTATAACTAATTAATTAAATATTGTTAATGACTTACTGTATTAACCAACAATACAGCCATTAGTTTCAACTCATAAACCTTTTAAAGGGGTATCTTATTAGAAAGTGGAACTGAGACTCAAAACCGTCATGTTTAAAAAGACTATTATACTCAATGAAATACGTAACATAAATTAATTAATTCAGCAAAATAAATAATGCAGTAAAAATTAACCCTTGATATCTCTTTTGGAAAAGTTACAAACATTTCATGAAGTGGAAATACTGTATAATAATAAAGGTATAGTTACTCACCTGTAAATGTCCCCAGGTAATGTCCACCTCTCTAGGAACTATCTGTTAACTTGCATTAACGCTCTGAATGTGGACAGACAATCAGTTTTTTTGTGATTGTTGCGGGAAAAAATCTTTGATTATGCGGCACGTTTTCTTAAAAAATGCGATGGAATATGCGGGATATTTATGTAATTCTATGCGATGAAATTGCGGGAACTTGCAAAAACTGCGGCTTCATCGCGGGGTTTGCAGCTTTTCGATGATGTTCACGTCGCGTAATTACGTCACTTGGTAACGTTCCCGTGGCAACAGAGGAAAATTGCTGCTCTTGTGTGAAGTAAACGTAACATTTTCCAACTTTCTGCTAAGATATTATGTGCAAGCCCCGCACATTTTGCGCGGAAATCGGCAATTTATGCGGCGAAAGTGCGGCGTATTTTAAAAAATGCGGACTTTGGCTGATTATGCATTGAATTACAGTATGCGATCACATAATCGCGTTTTTCTGGAGGGACTGGACAATATTGTTTCACTGGAGGCTCCTGCTGCACCTTAAGTGCCATATATCTAATCAGAGTAGGGGGCGCCACACTCGGCCTGTGTAGCTGTGCATCCGGAAGTAGTGTAGCCATAGTCATCGTTTTGAATCTGCATTCCTGTGAGTCAGAGTTAGCTAGTGATTAAAAGCCCACATTCATTAGTTATATGTCTATGTATGAGATGTTGGCCACATGTTGAGGCAGCAGTGCGTGTGGAACAATGTAGCAGCTGTGAAGTAATGACAACTCATCACGGTGAGACCATTTTTCAACCAACGTATTGTTCAGGAAATAGCTGGCGAGCTAGCCAAAGTTAGCTGACGTTACGCTAGCTAACTTAGCGAACACGTTTGCTAGTAACGACAGCGGACCAGCCGCCTGCGGACGTTATCCAGATGTGCCTGTCCAACCGCCAGTGGACAGTTATGGTTGCAGTTGTGCTTTTATTCATACTCGGTAACCCTACACCAGTTTATCCAACGCTACGCTGGCTCGGTTTGTCAGGAATTGTGGCCTTGTTGTTTGAAAGCAAAAGTAATGGTGGAGCGGTGTAACGACTCCATCCAGACAGCTGTCGGTAGCTGCTGTCGGTAGCTGCTGTCGGTAGTCTGTTCAGCTTTAAACGTATGAGGCCAGCGACGTTTGAATTGCTAGATTGGGTTGACTTCGTAGGTGTTGCCATTACATTTAACGTTATAAAATAATTCAAACTAACAATAGGGTTGACACTGTCGCGTTGTTTTGGCCTCGTGGGCGTTGGAATTACGTGACACCCGCGTTATGTGATGACATCGATTGGATTTGAAGGCTGGTTTGTCTTACATGTTTATAATTTGGGGATTTCAGATTTTGTTGGGTTACTATGAGCTCTCTATCAGCCCAGCCTGCGGCATCATGCTCATCATGCCGGACACTACCTGGAGAGGGAAATCAGGTACGAAAGCAGCAACTTTGTCTGTGCACTATATCCATCAATGCACATATAATTCATATTTGATTCTAAGTTGGTACTGTTGTTTTGGCCCCAGGTACAACCAAAAGCCCCTCTCCTGCAGATTCTGCGTGTTGCCGGAGCCCAAGAAGAAGTCTTCACTCTCAAAGAGGTGAGTCGGGTGGGAAAAGTAGTATGCAGCCAGTTGTACTGGTTCATGACAAAGTGATACACGAGAAGTGGTCATTCCAGGGTCAGTAACCCCTTATACCGTGGCCTTAGAGGTAAAAATGCACCCTATAAGTGCCGTGTGATATCTGATATTCAGTCTTTTGTGTAGGTGATGCACTACTTGGGTCAGTACATCATGGGAAAGCAACTGTATGACAAGCAGAGGCAGCATATAGTCCACTGCCAGGATGACCCGTTGGGAGAGCTGCTGGAGGTGGAGAGCTTTTCAGTCAAAAACCCGAGGTATTCACCCACAAATGGTCGACACTCCTGAACTATACATCTAAACTTATACATTGAAAATAAGGAAGTCTATTCTAAACTCTTATGTTCTCATTTTACAGCCCGGTGTATGAAATGCTCAAGAAATACTTAGTTGTGCTTGGTTGTTCTGGTAAGTGCCACATTCATTTAATGCTTTATTCATTCTTTATGAAAAATAATATTTCTGTCAGGGGGCATCATCAAAGAGCGAGCACTATATGAATATATTTTGTACACTTAGAACATTGTATCTTTGTGATGACTTGAAATTCAATTGTGTCTTTCTTCTCTTCCCTATTGTGTTTGATGAATTCAATATTTCATTTGCATCTTTAACATGGTATGGTTGGAAGTGACGATCCCTGGGAATATGGTGATTATCTCACCATCATATTCCCTCTGTATATTCTAAAATCAGTTTTCTTGTTACATACATTGTGAGTGCTTGTCATCCCTTGAGGAGGCGGGGACCAGAAGAAAGCTATTTTCCAGCTTGTCCTTAAAAGCCACAGCAGAAGGCCTTAGTGAGAGAGTGTATTATGCTATAATTAAAGGGTGGGGGTGTCCTTTTTTCTGTTACTGTGTCTCATCTGAAATGCAGACGCTGCAGAGAATCTTTCTGTGGGCCGTGAATGTGTAGAGGGCGGAGTGGAGGATCGTGGTCAGGTAAAGCTGAAGCATGGTGCTCAGGAGAAACAGAGACCCCCCAGCCTTTCTCACCTCGCTACACACAACACTTGCGACGGCAAAGGGGCAGGACTGAAAGGCTCAGATAAAATCTTTTGGTCATAAGCCAGAACATGCACTGATTTGATTTGCCTGAATTTAGACCAGCAGGCTTTGGTGTAGCACCAAATCACAAAGACTATAAAGTGAGCTGCTGCCTGCTTGTGTGTAATGAGGAGGGGAGGTAAGGTCTGCTGTCTTCGTTGGTGTGCATTTGTACAGAGTGGCACCGTCTCTGTACAACCCCATCCTTGGTTTGGTCTGGTGGTATTTAAAGTATTCTTTTGTGATCCACCAGCACCACCCAGTGGATGGGGTGGGGCAGAGTCACTCTCTCTGTCTGTCTCAGAGTTATCTTCTCTGCTCCGAAACTGGAGGATCACAGCTCCTGTTCCAGCCACAGGCCTAACAATAACCTGAAACCTTTTAACCCATCCCCGCTTTCCTACACCCTGTTTTCCGAATCCCTCCAAAATCCACCTCGAAGCACCTACTGAGTGCCTAATTGTGTGTAAGACCTTAGTCTCAGCATTGTTGAGCTACAATCAGATTTAAATTGAAGCTCTAATCATACTTTCAAATGTACATTGTCATTGTTACCAGCTGTGATTAGTAGTAAGCATTAGAAGATATCAGATGCCATCTTTAATAATTTCTTTCTGTTTCGTTTCTCATGTAAAAACATCTTACAATTGTGAGCACTACAAGAACATTTATCTTGTACAGTATATATCCATGGACCATATGTTAAAATAAGTCATTTAAATCCTGTGATTTAGTGTGCACATACTACACATTAAATCTGTTGTAGGGTTTTAAAATCTTTGACTCATTAGTTTAATCACTGTTCTATTTAGTACACTGACTTTCCTACTGGCCCCTTCTCTATATGTCTCTGCTTTTTTACCCTCCATACAGTTTGGTTACCCTGTTATCTCTTAAATTTGTTTTGACTTCCCTCCCCGCTGGCCCCTACCCTTATTGCCCAGTCCCTTGTTCCCTGTACCACCACCCCATAACGAGAGGCCACCTTGAAAAGGAGCTGCGAATCCTCCAAGTACCCAGTTATGGCTCTGTGTTCTCATTTTTGTCCTTCCTCCCTCTGTAGATATTTGGAGGTGTGGTCAAAGCAGGGCTGGAGGCTGTCAGTAATGGGCCTCTCCTGCCGACCCCCTCCCAGAGACGACCTCGGGAGCCAGACGATGGTAAAGTTATTTATTACGGTTTCACAATATTCCAGTATATACAGTCACGTTATTTATTGTTATATGGTCAGCAGTATGCTCAGGACCTGCTCAAAATGCTGTATTTAAGCATTCAAAACCTCTACAGACTCCCTGGAAGGCCTGCCACGGTCAGCGTGTAAACGCCCTAAACTGGATGTTACTCTGGACGAGTGGGACCTCTCTGGCCTGCCCTGGTGGTTTCTGGGTAATCTTCGTAGTAACTACAGCCGCAGGAGCAATGGCTCCACTGACATCCACACAAACCAAGTAAGAAACCTCATGTGTAGGTAATCTGTTAATGTCAGTAACAGCTGGTTCAGGGCTAATTTGGGAGGTTTCAAGCTTAAAAATGCCTAAAACAGACAAGATTACTATTTGACAAAGTGGCATGAAATGGAGTGATGAAGTGGTGGTCTGACTGATGTGTTAGCTGTCTCCTGCACAGGAGGAGGACACAGCTATCGTGTCAGACACCACTGACGACCTCTGGTTCCTGACCGAGGGTGAGAGTGAGCAGGTGAGCGTGGAAATGAAAGAGGCTGCACTGGAGGAAGGGAGTGGAGGAGAAGGGGAGGCTCTACCTGAGGATGATGATGGAGGAGGAAAGGAGGAGAAAGCTGATCGAGAGGTAGGAGTTTGTTTCAGCGTCTTCATTGGTTCCAGTAAGGCTCATACCAACCAATAAAGTTATTCATGTTTTACAGATTTTTTTTTTGAGACAAATGTATTTACTGTTGAGAGTGAGGACACTGATATGTGAGGTTTGATCAAATGTCTTGTATTCAGATGCAGGAGGAGCCAGATGAAGACTCGCAGTGTCTGAGCGATGACACTGACACAGAGATCTCCACACAGGTTGGTAGCATGTGTTGTTTTTCTCGCTGTATGTTGTAGTTTTAGGTTGTTGCAGCTGTAGATTAAAACTGAACACTTTTTGTGTCGCCATTATCAGGATGCGTGGCAGTGCACAGAGTGCAGGAAGTATAACACGCCTCTCCAGAGGTACTGTGTTCGCTGCTGGGCTCTACGTAAGAACTGGTACAAGGATGTCCCCCGACTAGCCCATTCCCTTTCTGTTCCTGACATCCCAGCATGCAGCTCTCTCACCACCCATGATGAGGAGGATGACAGCGACACAGGCATTGATGTCCCAGACTGCAGCAGGACAGTGTCTGACCCTGTCATCCTGCCCTCCCACTCCACGGCTGACCGGCCACTGCCTAATATGGTCACAGGGAAAGGCAAGGGGCCTTGGCCCTCCAGCTTCCTTAAGGATGAGCAGCTCTCAGAGGGGGACAGTCAGGAAAATCTGGGCATGGAGGTTGAAGAAGTTAGGCCTGAGGCACTGCTGGAGCCTTGCAAGCTCTGTCGAGTGCGACCGCGCAATGGAAATATAATACATGGTCGCACTGCTCACCTGCTAACCTGTTTCCCATGTGCAAGGAGGCTACACAAGTTCCAGGCTCCTTGTCCGGGTTGTGGGAAGATCATTCAAAAAGTTATTAAGACGTTCATCCTCTAAATGGCACAAGCACACATCTGTCTAGGCTCTGGGGACCTAAACAACAAATAATACAACACACATTTTCAAATGAATTCAACAATACTAGCTGCATGCACTCTGGTACACACTGCTTGTAGAGAGACACACAAAAAACATGCACCTTAACCTTAAAACCTACACAGATACATGCAAAGTTTAGCACTTGGTAAAGCTTGCTCTTGGTTGCATGGTTTTTTTTGCATCACACTGCCCCCAAAGTATTGTTAGGTGAAACACAAGAGTTTGTCATACCAAATGTTTGTTTTAGTGCCACATTTAAATAAGGGACGCAAAGGCAGAAGTATTTATTTATTTATTAGAAGATCACATAAGGGTGCAGTGTGTGTGATATTTGATTTCATTAAGGCTTGTTTTTTCAGGCTATGTGAATTTTCTTACTGGTTTTTGCATTGCATTTGTTAAATGTGCCATTTTAAAAAAAACTAGTATTGCTTGCTTTAGTTTTGTTAGTTCTGTTTGATTTTTGTTCTCCACAGACTCACTTCAGTCATCTTGACTGAAATGGAAAAGTCCGTGCAGGTATGTCATTACAAGAACATTTCTTGTATTTCTTCATTTTCTAGGCCATTTATTTCTTTTTTTCACCCTTTTTTATATCCTTTTTAGGTATTGTGGCCCTGATATTTGAGTTATGAAGACAACATTGAAGGAAAAACAGGAAAGAGTCTTAAAACCATGATTTTATTGTCAGCAGCTGCAGCTTCATGAATCCTAATTTTTTCTTTTTAAAAAGTTCTCTCAGCATTAGTGAATGTACTGTAAAAAAACAAACAAATGTGGTGGCTTAAGTCCTGTTTCTCTCAACATAGTATTTTAAAATGTAGAATTGAACTTAACCTGCTTGAGAATGCACAGCTGAAGTATTTACTGTAATTTTCTCTTGTGGTAGTAATCTGATATTAATATGTATTCAATATTTACAATTGCCAATCTTCTGACAGTTATGCCTGCAGTAAGTTATGTCAGATAATTATTGGTTAATGTTTAAATGTTATCATTCAAAAAGGGCACTTTACGCCCCTTCTTGAGCTTACGATGAATGAACGATTTCTGTATATTTTGTATTTAAGTTATTTATGAATCTGTTTTAATTGTATGATAACCACCTCTATTGAAGCAGAAAAAGGCTGTACAGTATTTGTTACAGCAAAAACAATTTCTTAAAGTTATACAGAAAGTCTTTAAGGAAACAGGCTAAGTTACCAAATGGAAACTCAGTGAAAATGACTGCATAGTACTTATTTGGATTTTGGGGACTTGATTTAAGCGTTACACTGCCATGTAATGACGTTGAACTTTAATTTGTATATTATAGATTTTATTTTGATGGCTCTGCAGTATTTGAAGATGTATCGCTGCAGTATGTAGATACTATTTACTTTCATTGCGTGTATGAGCTGTCTACAAATACAGTATCTTCTACAATGCTCACAAGTAAGATGTCCAGTGACCGTAAGCATTTAAATCTTGGCTCTGCTTAGCGTAGAGGGAATATTATAGTTATTTGATCTGCTCTTTACTTGCGCTTAATCATTCTGCCAGCAGGTGGAGAGAAGTCTCACGATTGTATCTGGTGCGCACAGAAGCTGTACAGTACCAGTTATAACAAGTGATGCATATATATAGAGCATGCCTCCTGTCGTGAGTAGAGCCAGCACTGAGTTGGTGTGAGAGCTATATTAGCTATATAAAAGCTATAAAAGATTATTGTAGCCTGTTGTAATTATCACCGCTGTTGTGAGTCAAGATGAGACAAACTTCCTCTAAATACAGACCTCGATAAATGGCTTAGTATGTATTATACCATTAATACTGTTTCAGAATGACTTAATTGTTGCAATTATTGACATTGAGACGAATGTACTCAAACATGGTACAGCTAATATAGTTGGGTTTTTTTTTTCTACTTGTCATGGAATAAAATAAGTTGTTTTGTAAAGCAATAAAGAGTTGGGACTTAATTGTTTAATTTCGTTCACTAGGTCTCCACAGGGACAGTTGATGTACAGTACCCACTGGTGAAGGGAGCTATGTGTGGGTGTGGTGTGTGTTTTGGCTGAAGAATAAGTCATTGTATGACAGCCCAGCTGTCATGTGTCCTCTGCTTCTTGACTGGGCTCCAGCACCTGCAACTCTCCTCTCTTTACTCACCGTTATGCTTACTTGTGTCTGTCTTATTTTTGTCCAGAAGTGGGACAGACACCCTACCCTCTTACTGTATGTGTTGCTGTCACACTGGTGGAGCTATGTTACCCCAGGGTGTTATTTAGATAACTTGTTAGGGAATATTCCCGGAGTGTGGAAAGTCCCCTGTGAAGCTCTCCGCAATCTGAAATTCACATTCCATGTACAGAATAGCTTGTACATACATTTCCATTAAATATGAATACTTGCATACAAGTACAGACAAAATTATTTATAAAGTCCTGCATTAAAAATGTTTGAGTAAAAGTACTTAAGTATTATCAGGAAAATATTCTTGAAAGTATCAAATGTGAAAGTACTTAATGCAAAGAAATGGTTTTGTATAAGGCTGTAACTAATGGCTATTGTCATTATTGATCTGCTGGTTCTTTTCTCAATAGTTTGGTTTATAAAAAGTCACAAAATAATGAGAAACATCAATCAGAATTTCCCAGAGTAATCTTCAAATGACCTTTTGTCCAACCAATAGTCCAAACCTCTAAATTACTCAGTTTATTGTAATTTTAAGTCAAGGAAAGCTTGAATTCCCAGCGGATTTTCACAAAAATAGTTGCATTGATTCCATCAATAAATCAAATCCTTTCAGCTCTAATTTAATATACTGTTGTGCAGGTTAATACAGCAATTCATCTTGAATTCATCTCAGAATTGTGTTTTCGTTACCTTAGAATGAGCCATTTGTATCCACAGAGGCAGTGGGTCCACTAACCCGGATGCCACCATGTTTCTACAGTAGCCCAGAATGGACACTCTAGATAAGGCTTTTTGTGAGTTTCATGTAAAGTTTCTCCTACACACTTCAAAGGTGAACAGTATTTAGTTGGTTGCAATATGCCACTTCACCGCTAGATGCCACTAAATCCTACACACCTTTAAATAAAGTACTTTGTTACATTCCACCACTGGCAAACATCACATAGTATGGAGGTAGGTAACATTAGGTGTTGCTGTCCTCCCTGTGATTTTCACTACAGTATGAAATGCTCCCAACAGCCATGCTAAAATGCTTCCCCTCTGCATCTAATTCAAGAATGGCATACTGCTTTGTCCGCGGCGTCTGGCACATCACAGAGCGTAGAGACAAAGAATGGCATAACACCCCTGGTGACATGGCACCCAGAGCTTGGCAGCTCTAGTATGGCACGACTTAGGGAGTGGTAGGGGATCTGCATGTTTCCATGGCGACAGTACCTCCATCCCAACATCCCAGAATAACTTAACACATTCTCCCTTTATCCCCTATGGCGTATGCAATACTTCCTAGAGAGAAAATAGTTAAGATGGAAGCTCTCTGTTGAACATTGTTCCCATATTTCTGTCCATACTTATCATTTCATTGCTTCTACTTTTTTGTTCTTGTACGTTTGAAGCACCTTTATAAATATACATAATATTTCTGTGCCACTCTATTCCTGTGTCCTTCATCAGCATACCTTCAGGATGGCGAGCCACAGCCTGTTTACCCTTTCTTGCTTTCTTCTGGTTGTGTCTGGATAGCTGTAACTGTATCTGTGTGGCCAGGACCTTTCTTTCTCACCTCTGTGCACACACACACACACACACACTTACTTTGCCTCTGTTGTGTCCGACTATTTGGTCGCTCCAGAAACCAGGCCGCTAAATTTGTCCCACTGGTGACATGGGAGAAGGTCAGTGGAGCCAGAGAAAAACAAAGATAGGAAAATAGAAAAAGGCACAAAGACAGAGAGAATGTCTAAGTAAGAGTTGGAAAAAAGTGGGGATGGGGCAGGTAATGACAGATATGTGACGCATTAAGATGAGATTTAAGGAGAAAGATAATAGAACTTGTCTTTTCTTGGACCCACAGCAGGAGGCCTGATACAGAAGATGATACTGAAAAGCTGAGCTGACTGGGATCAGGGCATAGTTTCCGCATAGCCATCCACTCAGATCTCACAACACTGCAGTCGTATACACATGACTGGCCTCAGACAGGATTCAGCCGTGTCTCCCAGAGGAGATATGCCGATTGTGGTTTACACTTGGGCAACATCAAGGTGTAAATTGCCTTCAAATTAAACTGGATAGATTTTATGAGGGCCTAGCTTTACCCTGTCAGATAACTTCCTGATGAACGTAAGTGAAACTGACAGCCTCCAAAAGATGGACGCTGTTTGATTTCATCATACAACTTGTGGCATTATTGGACTATATGTCATGTTAATAGTCTGGTTGTTTTGTAGCAGTGGACCAAAGGTTATTTACAGTAAATAACTTTAGGGCTACCATGTGCTGCAAAGTATGTTAGTGGGAAGTGGGTTATGTATGTAGGTATGAGTATGTATGGTTGTTTGTCCATGTGTGCTGGAGCCTCGCAGTGAGTGGGATGCCAGTGAAGGGAAGGGCAACGGATGGCTCAGGGGCTCAGTCCATTCCTGTGATTTAACATGATACCACTTGCACTAAGACTGCGACAGCTGCGTATGCACATGCCGGCCATTCTGTTTGTTGTAGGGGATTACTCTGCGATAAAAGCCTCAGTGAGCAGCAGCATGGCTGGGCTACACAACTACTGTTTCCCCCCTGACTTAGAAAGCTTTCTCCAGGCCTCCAGAGCCCTGTGAAAACACAGGTGGGGGCACTTCATTCTGAACAGGAATGAATGGGAGTATTCTCCTGATGATTAGCTGCGTCGTAGTAGTGTCACATCACCTTTAGACATCAGTCAAATGGTACTGCACTGCAGCTTATGTAAGGTTCATTACTCAACAGAAATAGTGGGCCATAGTAGAGTAGTAATCAGCTCTGACAGCTCCCATTCATTTACTTCAGAGCAGATTGATTTGCTTTCATTGTGTTGTGTTGATGATCATCAGGGAGGAGTACATTGCTTTGTCATCTTTCACCATTAATGTTGTGAAGTCAGTATGAAATCACCATAATCTGAAAGAAGAGAGCTCTGCATCGTTCAGAGTGAAAAACTGATATCAAAGGTTTCAGTAATGGACGTGCAGTTATCATGACGACTAGAGAAACAGTCTCTGAGGCGACACACTCTGGCATCTGTTGCTGTCACTATGGTGACCATGTCCTCTTCAAAAAGCACTTAACCAGTGTATAACATTGTTGCTTCAGTCCAGACATGAAACTGAACAATGTATACCAGGAGTAGTACACAAACACTCCAACTTAAACCCAGAAACTAGATACAATTCCTTCCCTTGTTCTTAGCTGTTCATTCTCTAAAACCTGTAACATGTTTGTTGCTTCCACCACAACCACATTCACCACACATGTAAGGATGTAGTAGAGGGTAATCAAACCTAGCTACACTCTATATAAGAATCAATCTTTACATAGTAATCAAGTATATGTGTAGCTGTTTGGTCTATACATCTATGATCATCATTTATTAATCAAGTAATAAATGTATATTCACTGAAACCATACATCTGTACCATCATTATAGTGAAAACCTTCACTATAGAAAATACTTTTATATAATTCCTTTAAAGTCTTCACTACATATAGTCTGGACAGACATGTAAACTACACCTTAATTGGTTGGTGGAGGCATACAGCTACTAGTTCCCCCTGTAAATTGTCCCGAATTATACATTTAATTAATAAAAACCTTCAAGAAAATAGAGGACATGTAAAATAAAGCATCACTAAACACATGTATCCCATTGAATGTAGACTACTTCTGTGGTTATTGTATATTATATTGTATGTCACTGGATAGAAATCCTTGTTTATCCACCTTTAACACTCCTTTACTCTTGTTATGCTGTTCTCCTCTTACATGTCTAAGATTTCACCGACTGCGCTCAGATGACAGCTCTCCAGGTCAGTGATGATCTTGAGGCTAACCTGGGGTGAGGAGGACTGATCCCTCCTCCCTCCTCCCCCCTGCTCAGCTGTCCCACAATGTGCTGCTGCTTGTCACTGAGGAGAAGTGGAACAGTGTTGCCAGTGACAGGGCAATCCCTGCCACACACAGACACACACGAACATGCAAGCACACACACATACACACTTGGACAAACACAAAATGTATTATTTGTATTAATAATTTTTTTTTTTTCAGTGTAAATAATTTGGCCTCTACAATTTAAATCACGGTTATCTTTGTTTCAAACTGCCTTAAAGCAAATTGAAGGTTTATTGGTGTTTCTTTGAGATCTTTACTTTTTCAATCAATAGATGTGTTCTTAAGAATAAAATCTAATTTAATAATAGATATCAAAATATATTTTATTTTGTCTTACAGGTGGGTGATCAGGTACAAACGGCTAAAATATATATAATATACAGTCTCAAAAAGATAAAGAAAGATCAATGTATCTCTTGAGTAAATATTTGATGGGATCTGTATTTTGTTTGTCTAGTTTCAACTCATTCACTTAGCTTAATCTGACTGAATTTAGGATTAAAGATACAGGGTGTACAGTATTTGCATACAGTAAATAAATATCCAATCCCAGTTGGTATACTGCATCTCAAGTGTTCACTTCAAAATGCTGAGAGGGGACTTAAAACAAGACATGAGTGTGTGCCTGAAACTACTACAAAACACACACACACACACACAGTTCTCTCGTTCTGCTGACAATGGGTTAAGATGACAGAGGGTTATGAGTGACTCTGACACACTGCAGACCCCCTCCCTGCTGTACCCCTGAGAGCAACACAGGCGTCTTTGTACTCGCTCCACCATCAGTGACTATCCATCACAGACTAACCTGACAGCCCACCGCAGCCCTGCGCCAAGCCTCGAAATCTGCACTCTGCCTCAACCTCAACCAAAGCCCACAGCCCAGGACTAGACCACAATCCACTGCCAGCTCCTGCCAGACCACTGCCTGGCACCCGGTCCCAGAGCTGACCCCTCTGTCTGTATCAACAAGTAATTTCATCTTACATTGAGTGGAATAGTTTCACTCACCACCGCCAGGCAAAAGATTTTAAGCAACCCATAACTCTAGTCTAAATGTAATTGTAAATAATAATGTTAATTTACTAAAATTAGGAAATATAGGTAGCCTAAAGAATAGATAGTAGAATAGAAGTATAGGAATGGGTAAAAATAGGAAATTAGTGAAATGAGAAATGTGACTTTTTCTTGCAAACAGCCTGCAGCTTAATCACTCTAATGTAGCGGCCAACGTACGTCTAGCTTGTTAGCACTTTTTGTGTTTTTACTTATATTTAGGCTTCCAGTGTGCCTACCGTTAATAAAGCACTGATTAGAGGCCCATTAAAATGTGAGAGCTCTCTGAAAGGCATTTCTATTTAAACAGCCCAAGATGCTCATCATATGAGACAAATATCAGCCTGCAACAGTGAGAAGGCCTCATTACTCAGAGGAATAGAAGTTTGTCTTACAAAGAACTGAAGAAAAAAAACTGTGCACTGTGCTCTACTGTACACTATCACATGGCATAATACCTACATACTTAAATTTATGTTCTGATACCACCATTGCATTTTAAATATCATTGCTTTAATCAAAAACATTGTTGCTAAAATGTTTTAGCTACTGTAATGAAAGTTCAGTGATGCTTCAGCTGTGTACAGTACATTATCTGCAATATGACAAAAGCTGTAGCCAGCTATATCGGGTAAGCTAACCACACAGTCCTTTCAATTCCTCTCTGGGCTGTTCATCAATGATCTCTATAAGCATGACAAAAGTTGAAGAGGATTTGAAATGTTGGAAATTAGCTAACGAATGATAAATAGAAAAATTAAAAGCAGGTTTTCATTTATTTTATCAAGGAAAAGCTTTATATGTATTTTTACACTCAATCAAACTGTTTTTATGATTTCATATTTATATGAAATCAAAATGATATATGATATGGTATGATATAGCCTGTAAAAAATAATTGTGTGAATATGAACCTACAATGTTATGTTATGGTTCAATTTTTCAAGAAGATGGGTTTCTTTTAAATAATTTTTTTGTCTCTGTTAGAAAGAGGAAAGTAAAGACATTCAGAAAAAGAGAAAGGACATTTGATGTGTAATTGGCAGCGGTATGCTCCATACACCAGCATGTATATTATATAGTGTGTCCACAAATCAGAGGAATCACCCTGTCTCCAGCAAACATTTCCTGCCAGATATATTGTAGCCTATGTGTCACTGTTATAAACCTATGGTAGTGATATAGAATACACAAGGATGTGACACATTTCACACTATGCCTGTCATTCCAGGCCACTTCTCTGCTGACAGAAGTGTGTGTTTTGGCTGTTTGTCCATGCTTGCGGAAGCCAGTCCGAATTAGCTGGTGCGCTATGAGGTGAAACATGTCCTGGAAGGATTAACACCCACTGGCTGGGCTAACACTATAACTGACTAGAAGAGGTCAGGACAACGAAGGCCATACCTCTGCGTGGTCTTCTGATTATTGTCCCTTGATTTCAGAGAGTAACAGGAGCCAGTGTCAACTTCGTTCTCAACTTACTGTACTATACTCTGTCCATTCCTGCACAGGCCTGTCTGACTGAATCCAGTTTAGCTCACAAGGTCACTTGCATCACACTGTGCAATCATCTAAGAAGGAAAGTCAGTAGATATGAATGTGGTTACATAAAACCAAGACCCAACAATGGCATGAGCTTTTATGTCACCTGAGCTATTATATTTAGTAACAACCAAGTTTATCATTCTGGACCTTCAGTCACAACAGTGTACAAATGTTAACCTGTGACCCAGTTTTAGGTAAACAACAATCTCATCATTTCCCATCTAGAACTTATAGCCAAACAACTTCTTGTCATTGCATATCATTGGCTCATAGCAGAAGTGACAGCTGTTTCCAGACTGTCCCTATTGCCCGTGCCCCTCCTCCAGCCCCCATGGCAGGGGACTTCACGTATGGTGTCATGGAGGGAGACGCGAGTCTGGGATTAGCTCATTAAGACGGACATCTTTGATCCGAGGTTATCTCTCCCATTTCCACAGCAACTTGATCATATCCTGGCCTCTTAAAACACGCACGAGCACACGGACCCACACAAGGGCACATACACGCACACACAAATGGGCCTTAAAGCCCTAGAGAGCAGGGCCCAACAGAGATGTGAAGTGTAGATGTGCAGCAACAGCTAAACGTCGTGTCAGGTTTCTGGGGGCTCGTGCTAAATTTAACCCTGTGATCCTGCAGCAGGCAGAGGGGTTTAAATGCCAGCCTACAGTTGCTCCACACCAGTTGTTCTCCACACGTCTTCCACTCATCACAAACCCAGGCAAGACAGCCACACACACCTACACTCCGACACACACGCTTCAGGCGCAGGACCGAAGACCACATACAATAGAGCCGTTCCAGGAGAAGCAGGAATCTTTGTCCCCTTTCAGACCACAGCGTTGTCCAGTATGGAGCTTTTTGAGACCAACCCTTATTTCTTCCCTGACCAGCGCTTCTACGAGGGAGGGGACGGCTACTTCCCCTCTCGTCTGCCTGGGGCGTATGACCAAGGCGCCTACCAGGATAGGAACTCCATGATGGGCTTGTGTGGGAATCTGTCAGGGGGTGTTGGAGTCGGGGTGACAGGTACAGAGGACAAAGCCTCTCCGTCCAGCCTGTCACCTCACTCTGAAGCCCACTGCCCCGGACAGTGCCTGCCCTGGGCCTGTAAGCTGTGCAAAAGGAAGACAGTTACCATGGACCGTCGGAGAGCAGCCACAATGAGGGAGAAGAGGCGCCTGAAGAAGGTGAACGAAGCCTTTGATGCTCTGAAGAGAAGCACTCTAATGAACCCAAACCAGAGGCTGCCCAAGGTGGAGATCTTGCGGAGTGCCATCCAGTATATCGAAAGGCTGCAGGCCCTGGTGTCTTCCCTCAACCAGCAGGACACTGAGACGGGACAGCAGGGACTGCACTACCGACCCAGCGCGGCCCAACCCAGAGTGAGTAGGAAAGAGGAGGGCTGATGAGAAGCAGAAGGTCACATATCTAACACTGAGGACAGAGCCAAAAGGCAAACAGAAAGAACAGACTGGGAAAAGATGTAATGCACTAGTTGGATAGAGGCAGAAGATGTTAAGACAAAGATGAAAGGTAAAATAGAGAAAGAGGGACACTAGATAGACATGAAATGGTCAAAGTAAAAATTATCTTGAAAATGTGTGGCTTTGACAAACTGATACACCCTAAAGCCTGCTTCAGAAATGATACATTGTCAGGTTTCAGTGTGGGAGATAAGTTGGTGTATCCGTCAAGGCATAGAACAAACATACATTTGTCATTGTCTTGCAATTATTCAAAGAGGTTTTTAAGAACATAATCCAGTTTTCAGTGTGAGAATATAGAAAGCTTTTACATAATTAAAGGCTCAGAGAGACGAAAATAAACTGATGAGACAGGTGCAGAGATATAGCTAAAACAGACTTATTCAGAGTGGCCACAATCTAACGTCTCTGTCAAATTATTTGTTACAAGATCTCTTTTGTATTCAACTGTATTTTCTGATGGACAAGTCTTGATTCTCTTGTCGAGATAGTGCTCATCGCGAACATTTGCCACTGAGGGGTCACAGGATGAACTGGTGGTGTGTGTGTGTGTGAGTGGTATTACACAGCACTGTAGTGTTTCTGTGTGGGGCGGGGTGTGCCGTGTCATAACACAGAGTGACTGACAGCAACTCCTGCGTGTCCATCTCCATGGTAACAGGTGTCGTCGTCAAGCGAGCCCAGTTCGGGCAGCACCTGCTGCAGTAGCCCAGAGTGGAGCAGCACTCCCGAGCAGTGCACGCAGAGCTACAGCAGCGAGGGTGAGTACAGTTCACACACAGTTTCATTAGACAGCACAAACATAGCAGTGCACCCTTGCTCAGATACTCAGTGTGTGACTGGGTCTCTTTCCAGATCTCCTGAGTGCTGCTGACTCTCCAGAGCAGGGGAATATGCGTGCCCTGACTTCCATCGTGGACAGCATCTCTGCAGCAGACGGAGCTGTGGCCTTTCCTATGGACATTCCCAAATAGACCCTCCGTACAGCGGACCCATAGGTACACAAAGAGCCACAGACAAAAAGTGAAAATGACAATTGGCAAGGAAGGCTGACAGCTGGCCCTAAATTCCAATTCAAATAGTTTTTCAGCTCTACTGATCTAAGTGTCTTATGCTAAAATTAAAAAGCAGTGATTTATTTGAATTGTAACTCTTTTGATCAATGGGTCTGCTAGCCAAACTGAATTCCTCCTGTTCACAATGAGGCCTTATTCCCTTTATTCCCTGCCTTATCCCGTGGTCCAGACCTGTCTGTCAGAGCCACAGGAGCTTAGCCTAACTAGAGATTCAAGGACTTTGCTGCATGAACCCAACTAGTTACTAGAGTGAATCTCTTTTAGACTCTGATAGAGCCACAGAGGAATGATAAAGCCTGGTTTTCTCCTTACTTAATTTAAGTTTTCCTCTTTTCGATACCTTTCCCTGACCTTCTTTCATTCTTTTTGTGTGTGTTTTTATGCTTAAAAAACATGAGTTTATTTGTGGGGCCAATATGTACCATGGCAGTTTTGACCAAGATCTGCTTAATTTAAACTGGTTATGAATGCTAGTGATGTAAATACGTTCCCTTTTTCTACAGAGTGGTTTTGCCATTTTATTTTTTATTTTTTGCTAACTTATTTTTGACTTTTATAACTAAGATTGTTGTGTATTTGTAGATGTCCAATTCTTGCAATAAAGACCATTTTCAATATATTATTTTCACAGTTCTTAACCACCAATGATATACTCTGATTGCAATAACCCCAAAAGGAACACAACATCCAAATCTTTAAAAAACAGCTTTACTTATGTCTATATAGTGTCATAAATACAGTTCACTTTTTTAAATAGCCAAATAATAAAATCTTGATTTGTCAGCATTGTTTCACACCTGGAATAAAGACACAGTACTCATAGCTGCCACATAGCACATTACACCTTTTAGACACCTTGGAAAAACTGTAAAATAATAATAATAAAAAAAAAAATAATATTGTACACCCATCCAGTACTTCACAGGTTCATATGCTGTGTTCTCACTGGATGAGGAGTTGTCTAGCCAAGAGTACTGACTGCTCAGTGGCACGTCTCCATGGCAACTAAATGGGAGGCGACAGAACAGGATTAGACGAGTCCGTCACTTTGAGCAGTTTTATGTCTATATCATTGGCTGATGTTGAGCAGCAGTTTACAGTTTGATTTGAGAGAAAGTAAGGAATCAACAGAGAGGAGCTACAGTGATCACACTATCCATCCACAGAGAAACGTCATGGTCACATGGCTGGGGTCGGCCTTTCACACACAACCTCTCAACAAGTCTTGAGCAGAGAGACTCATTTGCTCACTCATACACACACACATGCACACACACACAGACACACACTCTTTATATTAAAGGATTCTCTCTATTCTAGGCTACATAGTGTCATACTGAAGGCGAGAGAGGCAAAGAGAGGAGAGGTAACAGCTACATAGTGTCAAAAGAGGAGGAAGAAAAAGGAAAGAAGAGGAGAAGAGGCAAAGAGAGAAGTCTGAAATTGGACCCATGAACCTGTGAAGAGTCCTTGTAGAAACACATCCCCTCCTTAGTGAGACCCTCCCACTAATGATTCACACACTTACAGCATACAGCAAAAGACACACAAAGGTCCGACACAGAGAGAAAGAGAAAGAAAGAGATAGAGAGAGAGAACAGTCACTATCGAATACAGGGCATTGGGTTTCATACAGCAATATATTATTTTCCATATATATTTCCAATATATATATATATATATATATATATAATATTTCTATAAAAAACATAAGTCATCCATTTTATGTACAGAGACGATAAATGAGTAATACCTTGCATAACCGGTAGAGGGGCAATGTGCAGTGGGATCTGCCATTTATACAAGTATTCATCATTCCCAAGTCCAAATCAATGACTTGTCAACATCCCTTTAAATCTTTTTTACACTAACACACTTTCGTGTTGCCTAGGACAGGATGACACAGGAAGATTGGTTTGGACTTAGCCATGTTGAGAGATTAGAACCAGGACAAGAACCCACAGCTGAGACCAGGGGAGCAGGAGCACAACACCACAACAACAAGGCTACTGGGAGCACTGGGGTGAACTGGGAGAGACAGGGATGAGTCTCCTTTACAGCAGCGAGCGCAGCCAATGAGCACTCTCAGAGTTCAAAGGTCAGAGTTGGCCTCTGTATTGCACGTGTCCGAAGGAGAGGTGAGAGGTGAAAGGTGGGAGGTGAGGCTGGGCAACAAAGGGGTGAAGACCCCCTATCAGTGGCACCCAAGACTCCCTCTCCAGATTTGGCATATCACTCTCAAAAGGCCGCAAGCATGTGTCCGTATAGGTAATGAGAATGCACTGAAAGAAAAGAAGTAAGAGAAAGACTGGATTAATGTCTGCTACTTAGTTTTACTTTACATATAAAAGACAGCTATATACAGATATATAAATGACATGACATGAAATTGGTTAACGCCCATAAATGCTAAAAATCAATATCCTCAAATTTAACCATTCTCATAGCACAGGAAAAAAAAATCCCCCCAAAAATTACTTTTTTAAGGGTGGAAGAATGGTTGGATGACACACTAAAACATTAGAAACCATGTAACATTAGTTGTTGTTAGCTAATAGTGGAATAAATTAATCAAAAACTTGGGCAGAGCAAGAATTCTGTAATATAATTATCATCATACAAAACTCGGTTGTGTAAGAATCATTCCGAGAAATATTCCAGAAAATGGTTAAATAATTTCTTAAAACAGCTGGATAGTGTAGTTTTCAGCAAACATTACTTGGACAGAAGTAATAGTAGTGCATTTATTAGGGACTATTATACTACTATATCTTTTGTGGATTTATACAGTGTGTAGGATTTAGTGGCCTTTAGTGGTGAAATTGTAGATCGCAACTAACTGAACACTGCTTGCGCCTGTATTTGACGACCTGGGAATGAGAACAGACTGTGCAGTGTGTAGGAGAAACTACGGTGGCCGTAGATGGCCAACATTATTATTATTTTTTGTTGTTGTGGTAAAAATGTTACTTCCAGCTGACTAATAGTTAGAATTCCAGATAAATTCAGATACACATATCAGCGTTTCCAGTAAATTAGCCTGGTACTGTAAAGTTAGTGCCACATTCCTTTCTCATGCCACACAGCTGGGCAATGCTGGTTAAAAGCGCACTTACCTGTAAGTTTAGCAGTTGCAGGTAGTGTTTTGTTAGCTTACCTGTTAGCATTAGCGCTCCTGTTAGTAAGCAGAGAGAAGTTAGCATGAATAGGTCCGCACGGCCGAGGGGTCGAGTCTCGGGGGCGCCGGGGGAGGAGCTTGAGAGGACATAGGCACAAAGGGGTTTGGGTGCAGCAGAACAGAGAGGAAACAGCATGCAGTTAGTCAGTCAGGCAGAAGCAGAAAGTAGCACATAGATACACAGAAAAATACATAGGCAGAAGGTAGAAGAGGTTGGGTTAGTATTTTAACACACCTTCAGGCTGGAGCTGTTTCTTGGGCATCAAATTCACAGAGGGTGGCATGGACATCGAGGGCATGCGGAAGCCGGCAGGCAGTGTTTCCATGGAGCCTGCCATCATGCCCAGCCCTGCCCCTCCCTCACGTGCCCGAAACCTCTTGCGCCACGATGGAGAGCGTCGAAAAGACTTGTCATCCCCACTCTACGGGGACAGAGAGAAAAGCGAGGTCAGACAATTGGCCCTTTTTCAATAATATTGTATTTGATCAAAGCAGCAGCTTGAGAGGTCACCTCCTCTAGTCGGCGGTCAGTCCCCAAGGCTAACAGGTTGTTGAACTCCCTCTCTAGAACCTGCCGTGCCTAAAAAACACACACACACAACCTCTTTCAGCAGGAGACACAGTGAAGCTGTGGGTTAACCAACCAAGGTCAGAAATAATCAGGTGCTGATGGCAAAATGCCAATGAAAGCTTTGGAAATACCCGTAAAATGAAAAAAAAATCCTCTGATAAATAAGTGTAACCTTCTTGATTTTTTCCCCCCTGTGAATATGAAACTGTGGGCAAGTAATCTGTACCAAATCCTGTAGCCAGGATATTCTTTTAAGTGGATTCTAAGTGAGAACAACAGAGCTTATTTGATCAGACAACAACTGATACAGAATCTGAAGCAGGAGTAAATGTTGGCACCACGTAGCCAGCAGTAGAAAGAGATGCTGACTGCACACTAACCACTGCGTCATAAAAAATTAATCAACCAATCTCATAAAAACCTCAACAACCGTGACTGTTGGAAGATTGACTGGTTGCAGAAAGGCTAAGAGGCCGGCCATGAACTTACATTACGGAAAGAAAGTGCTGAATGTGTAGGATATTATGATACAAAATAAAACAGATTGTGTTGATACAAATTTAGGGTTTTTAGTCAGTATTCTATACAGATAATTCATTAAGGACCTCAAAATGGACCAAACACCCCTTAAAAATCAGATCATACAACACTTGATGTCTTCCTCTCATTCAAATCAGTTCAGTCATTGCATACTGAGTGTAAATAGTTGTGTTTTCCTCTATAATCACCTGTGTGTTCTGCATAGGGATCTGCAGTATGAGTGCTAGGCTGCTGTAGTCAAACGTCTCGTCCAGGGCAATGAGCGCTCCGTGGACACCGCTCTCCAACAGGTTGCCGCTATACTCCCTCAACCCAACGGACAGGACCCAGTGGATTACCTGCTCGTTGGTCCACACCAACACATCTAAAGTAAAAGAGAGTGGCTCAGATTCATGGTACTGTAACACAGTGTTATACAGACTGTCAAGCACACATTGTAACCAGCCAAATAGGAGCAACTTGAATTCAAGTAAGAGAGCTAGAAGGAAAGATAAAGAGATAATGTGCATGTCCACATAGTGTCAACTCACTGGCACACTCCCTTTGTTCATTTAAAGCACAGCTGTCAGCCAGCTTTCCAAGTTGGAACAGGCGGGTGTGTGTGTGTGTGTGTGTGTGTGTGTAAACAGGGCAGGATTGTGATTTGCCATGACAGCTGAGTCAAGTTCATGTGCAGAACTCAAGGTCAAAAGGGCGAAAGGGCTGGCTGGATCTAAGTGTGTGTGTGTGTGTGTGTGTGTGTGTGTGTGTGTGTGGACTACTCTTGGTATGTGGGGCTTTGGATCGTAAGATTGCAGGCCTGCTTCAGTTGGCTTTTTGACAGTCTAAGGTGCAGCTGTTTCTATGCTCAGGCCAAATTGACAATATCAGGCAAAACCACTAGGTGGTACTCTGGCCTGATGAGACTGTGGACATGTGCAAGCTTGTTAACTAGGGTTTGAATGTGTGTGTGTGTGCGTGCTTCTTTGTCACTGTGTGTATCAGGGTGTGTGTGAAGTGTACCTTTCATGTCGTGTTGGCTGTCCTCTCTCCGGCGCTCCAGGTCTTTCCTGTCATAATTGAGTCTCTTCAAGCACATAATCCCATACTGCAGACTAGCCCTGGTACACACACATGCACACACACAAATATGACAGAGCAAACAAGCTCACATACACACATAGTGAAAAGCACAAATGCATCATTAGCCTTCTCATGTCCATTGCTAATGTATCCAGTTAAGGGATGCTGATCAAACAGCAGCTAAGCTAATCGCCCTGCTACAGACCTATGGAAGCTGTCCACCATCTTGAGGTGGCTCCTCAGATCCTTCTTGGTCAGGTGGTCCAGCATGCGCGCATCCACCAGACACTCCATGAAGTAGGAGCGGTACTGAGGCAGGCCGAGGCTGGGCAGCCATTCGTTCCCTATCCACTCATGATTCATGTCACCATATGCCAGAGTCTACAGGGAGAGGAGGACATAATGTTACTAATTTGTTCAACAGAAAAAGAAAGATATTGCTCTCTGTTTCAGGATTATATACTGTACATGTTCACATGTCTTTTCAAAGCAGACATTTTGACTTGTCAAAGCAGGAAAAGTACAGGTAGGAATTAATAACATTACTGATGGCTATATTCCATATAGGTGAGTCAGTTCGAGGGTTCTGGTATTGTGCATGCTCCCTCACAGGCATGGTTTACTGGGACACTTAATGGAATGGAAACATTGTTAGCGTTATTAGTTACATCTTTTATTTTCCTGCTTTGACAAGTCAAAATGTCTTTCTTGAAAAGGGTCTATCAAGCACAGTCTGTACACACTCACACAGTCCTGAAAAGAGTTGTAATCAGTAAATAAAGGGAATGGGTGAACAGTAACTATGTGCCACAAATGTATCAACAAAATCATCATTGTTTATTAAAGGGTCGGTTCACCCAAATTACAAAAAGACTGTCTAACCAGTTAGTTTTAGTTTTATCTGAACTTAGTTTTGACACTCCAGTAAAATTAATAGAATTAGTTTGTGGTGCTCAAATCATTAAAAAAATATATTTTTGATAAACTCAGCAAGAGCTACATGTATTTTCAGAAACATGTCCCAGTTACTCTATTTTATGCTAAATATATCGTGTCCCCTCCTTTGCTGCTGTGTTTCTTTCCGAATTATTGGCACCCGTCTTCTTCGCAAATACACGTATGTGTGTTTGTGTTATTGAAGAGCGTGGGCACAGTTTCAGAGTGTGTGTGGACAGATGTTAGCAGATCAACAACCTTACCTGTGCCCAGCTGCCCTCCTCATTGTCCTGAGTGGCCGCATGGTAGAGACATTATACAAGGTTAGAGAGACAGAGTGTAACCAAAGACACACATTCAAAAACACACGCGCAAAGCTCTTACTCTACAGTTACCTTTCAATCAAATCAGTTAACTGTAGACACAGACCACATGACCACAGATTATAACAGTTACATCCGACACCCACATACAAACACCAGCACAGGCACAAAAATGCGTGATGTAGTGCGTATTTAAAGGGGTCTTCCGGGAGATGACATATGTGTGTCGCGGTGGGGACAGTGTGAGTGTGAGAGAGTTTGGTGGGGGGAAAGGGGAGGGGAGCACCCAGATGGTACTGACCGCTTTAGTGGAGGAAGCCAGGTTCTCCATCTCTTCATGAGTCACCCACACATTTCCGGAGGACTGCTCAGAGGACAAAAACACACCCAAACACACACATGCACACACACACACATACACACACACACACACACACACACACACACACACACACACACATACACACACACACACACACACACACACACACACACCAAAAACAAAAACACACCCAAGAATGTACTCATGTACATTTTCAGGCATACCGACCCCATCGTGCACACCCACAGACGCAGACAAACACATACGCGCGCACACACGCACACGCACACGCACGCACACGCACACACACACACACACACACACACACACACACACACACACACACAGACAAACATTGTGTTGAGTGATGCCAAGTGAGGGAGTGTATTTCAGGCAGGTAGCTTGTAGCTATATCTGGCACTATTTGTGTGTGGTTTTTCCACTGAACCTCATGCAATTTATGGCAGCAAAAAAGGACAAGTCAACCTCAGTCGACAGCATAAACCAAGCCTCTACTGTGGTCTGAACAGGAGAACACAAAAACAAAAAAGAGTCATCACCCCAGGGTGCAGAATAAAGGTAAAGCCCAATAGTGGAAAAGTTTTGAGTATTTTGTGTAGGGTTCATATCCTCGATTCAATTTGTGTGTAGGTTCATGTGGTCCTTTATATATTTGTGTATGCACGTTAACATGCATGAAGACAGCCGTGTATGTGTGGTCATGGAGGTGTATTTGTTGTATTATTTTACCGTTCTGGAGGTAAGTGGTGCAGACGGGCTGGTGAGGGACACCATCTCCTGGATGGCCAAGCGGAGTTTAAGTCGGTGCAGAGGATTGCTGATGCCAATCTCCCGCTGGATCTCTGTGTCTGACAGAGCTGACATGATGGCTCCGCTCTTCACGTTGGCACGACAGGCTGCCACATACCACGCCGGCATACCCACCCACAGCTGGTGAGAGTCATCAAGATATTCAACATCACCATCATTGTCGCCATAAAAGGTCAGATACAAGAGTGAAGGGAGTGCCGATTAGGCTGTAATGGTCTGTCTCGTATTTGATATCATTGTATTATTTGTTATATTAGATGTAGTAGCAGCCTGACATAAAGACAGCAAGATAGAGGGAGGTTTTGTAAAAAAGTATGGTTAGCAGACCTCTAGCCAGGAGACAACAGTAGGGCCGTCCCACTGGGCAAAAGCCAGGCCTCTTTTTCTGGCATCTTCCAGAAGCTCGTGTCTAAAGAGAAATGGACAAAGAAAGATCGAAGTAAGAATTAGCACAGAAAAGGCTTTGTGAATATATTATTATAACGAGAGGAAAAACATCAGAGAAAGAAAGGATGCTTTTACTTTTTCTTCATCCTGCGGTCCCTCTCAGCCTGTGTGCCCAGTTTTCCCAGAGTCATAGTGTCACCGATGCCCATCTCGAAGTCTGAAATACAGCAAAGCAGTGTTAATATATATCTCACACAATCTCACACAGTTTGCATCAATATAGGTGTATGGTACAGTAGTTAGTACCGGATAAGGCTGGTAGAAGCTGTCCATCCCTGCCTACAGTCTGCTCCATTCGACCCCCCTTCTCCTTCTTCCCAAACAATCGACCAATAGATGACTTGATACCTTTCTTCTGCTTGCTGCAAACAATTAAAACAGAGTAAATTGTGTTACACCAGAATCTATAGTACAATATATTATTGTCAACCACGAATAAGCAAGGTAAACAATTGTTTTTCAGTGTATGAAAAAAAGAGGAAGATTCATGATTACAATCTTCAAAATATTAGGGATCATTCAGAACTTGTCAGTAGAGAGCTGAAGTGTAGTCTGTACTGATGCTGATTTATCATACTGTGTGTGTGTTTACCCTCTGCCATCCTCTAGACTGCCTGTGAACTGGGCAAAATTGGTTTCCAGCCGTAAACTACGGGGGGACGAGGGAGGCGATGTCTCACACTTGATAGTAGCTTTGTCCACTTCCACTGGAGACTAGAAGAGTAAAAAAAGCAGCTCAGCTCAGTCACAAAAGCCACAGTCGGACAAAAGAAGCCATACAATTTTTGTTGTGTTTGTAAACTTACTGCTACTTTCCTGCGGTGTTTCCTCAAGTCACTTGGCTATCAAACAAAACAACACAAAATTACAGATTCAGCTTTTCACAATGAACAAACTGCTATTTGTGTGTGTACGACAGATAGAGCTTGTGTGCTCTCTGACCAGAGTCATGATGCCTAGATGGTGGCTGGTGTTGCGCGAGTGGTGTTTAGGTGTGGAGTGGCCACTGGTGGGCGGGGAGGATGATGATGCCAGGGACTGGGCAGTGGCGGAGGTGGGCAGGGCCCGGGGTCGAAGTGTGACGTTGAGTCCGTCCATGCTGCCGCTGTTCACACGGGACTCGATCTCGTCAGAGCGCAGGTCTGCTGACTCTCTTTCCACCTGGATCATCCTGTGAACATACAAACATGCACATATACATTGTTATCTTTGAATACTTAACATCACATGCATTACTTTACAATACACACCGTGTAAGTTCTATCCATAATAATATAAAAATAGTCCATATGTGGGTTAAAAAGATGAAAATAAAATCACTTTTGATTTCTCATTTGCACTACCGTACAATTTTGCCATGAATCTTTGAAATAATCACCATTTATTTATTATTTATAATTGCATCAAAAATGTAAAAATCCAAAGATCCTGGAAAATATTGGAAAATAAAAATTACATTTGTAATATGGACATTATTTTTATTACTTTGAGGGAGTCTGGCTCCTCTGCAGCATAATCAGCATATTTTTTACATCTCCTCACCAGAAGCATATTCTGAGGTGTCACAGGAAGACCTTGTTTACTGTAAACTGTAATAAACAGCGTCCTCTTCCAGCTTGAAAAAGAACTGAAGAGTGAGGAGTCTTATCTAAATGATATCATCTCTATATCTAATGCCACAATCAGCTCTGGTGCATCCTGTCTGGCCACAGGCCTTCATGCATTGCTTTAACAAGATGAAGCAGCAGCACCACCATTATTTGCTTCAGTATCTTCAAAATGTCCTTTTTCTTGTAATTATTTGTTGCATTATCTTGAATACTTTGTTCTCCTCTTATCTGTATCCTGTTTCTTGCTACTGCACTGACCCAATTTCCCCATGGGGATCATGAAACTGTCATGTGGTGCAATCTAATGTGGTTGTGATTTGGCACCTTATCTCTTCGTTGATAGCGTCAAGCTGCTCCTGCAGCATGAGAGCGAGAGTCTGAGCGTCTGATTGGCCGCTGGGGGAAAGCAGGGCCGAGCTAACGTCATCATCCAGGTCTGACTCTCCCTCGATGTCGCTGCCAAGGAGATGGCTGACACTCCCACGCAGAGATGGGTAGTCCTGTTCAAACACCGCACACACCTGGATACAACAAACACACAGCTTTTAACGTATGTAGGCATAGACCACATTTTAAATACAACATACATTGATCAGATTTTGATCATAAATACATGTTCCTGAAGAATGTGCAACATCAATTCTGATTAAATGCATACATTTAAAAATACAATATGACACTTGGAAAAAGTATGTGGCCAGTTATGAGAAGAAATGGATGAACAAGGAACTTACATCAGACAGCATGTCCATGGCAGCAGGTGAAAGAGAGACAGAGAGACAGAGAGGTTAGTAGAGAATGGTAAGTTAGGCATGAAGATCATCATACATCAGCCAAGCACTGACACTTATTAGCAAAGCAGACATGAACTTGGATAGAGCACTGGTAAGGAGTTGTATGTGGTTAGAAGAATAGTCGACTCATGATCTTGTTATCTGCAAGTTGGCCATCCTGCTTCGTGTGCGTATATGTGAGGAACTCTCGGGTTGTTTCGGCCCAATAAAGACATTATCAGCACCTTGTTTGGGTCGTCCCGTAGCGCTGACAGTCTGCCCTTCTGTGCCCGCCTGATCACAGTTGTGCTATAGTGGCCATCTTGGCCCTCCACCACAGAGAAGCGAAGGTCGCTGGAGCTACCCAGGTGAGACCTGAGATTATATACACAAAACACCTTACCATCAATAACGTGCACAGCACTATTTTAGAGGGTGTGTGTAAGAGAGAGAGCACGTGTGGAGGAGGAGGTATGTCTGTGTGTACCGAGGGTGAGTTCCATCTCCAAACGCCCCACTGCGGCGCTTCAAATGGTCGATCTCATTTCTCAACTTCTCAATCTCTCCAATCAGCCGTTCCTGAGGGAGAGAGAAGCATTATTAGCAATGTAATAAGATTGTCTACTTAAAAGCAATACCTATACCATTATATTACTCCATTACAAGTAAAAGCCAAGTAAAAAGTCAAAGTCTTGAAGTACTATAAGTAAAATGCACTTCAAGATCAATATCAAAGGTGAATGAGTCATTATGCAATAGAAGGTCTTCTGCTTTATGCTATATTAATGCTTTATGCTGTATGTTTCATGTTTACTGTACAGACATATGATTGGTATTTACCTTCTCATCTTACTTTCTGCAAGAGAGCAAATACATATACTTTCCAAAATGTCAAACTATTCCTTTAAGGTGTAAGCATTTTTAATGTTAAAACTAATGTTAAAAGCTCAATGTGTATAATGTTGGATAGCTTAACCTATAATATTTTAGCAATTCATCGTTTTTATGTATTGTTTCATTTGCAAAGTAACAACTGACTACAGCTGTCACATGGAGTAAAAGTATAAAGTGGCATAAAATGGAAATATCACACACCAAGTGTATTCATCACTTAATTACATTGCACTACTAATAAGGGGGAATATAAGTTGGAAGTGAGGACACTAGTTTTGAGTGATTATGTGATTCATTAAAGTCTTACTGACCCTCGTGTGGTGGAATTCTTCAAGCTGTTTCTGGCAATTCTCGAGGTCCTGAATAAGGGAGTTCTAGACAAAGAAATCATGAAACCGTGTCAAAAAAAATCTGTGGTCCAAGTAGAACATGTGCTCTACTGTATATTAATTTGTTCCGTGAGGCAATAACAACAGCCATATGAGCTGCTACTTAGATGAATGTGTGTGCACAGGCCTTGCCTTGTCCTCCAGGGCAGCCATGCGTTCTTTCAAATGGAGTTGCAGTCTTTCATTGGACTCAGTGAGCAGACGATCCACGGTGTCAGACAAGCGTTTGTTGTGCTCTTCATTCATTTTCTCTCTCTGACGAGCCTGAGGAGCGGAGAAAGAACCAGACAAATGAGAATGACATAATCATCAATTTTCTCTTTGACACAGACTCCATTTGGGTGTATTTATGCAGCTAATCAAGCATCTCTGCATGGATTAAAGGATGAAGTGTGTATTTAGCCCGAGATCACCAGCTGCCAGATATAGGTCTTCTTGGCCAACAATGGATCTCACAGCCAGAATGATTTAATTACAGTTATTTACGTGATGATGAAAAAGGGTTAAACGCCTTCTCTTAAATGGGAAATGCTGTGCTTCGTGTGTATTCTACAGTAATTTCATTAAAGAAAATTAACACAGACACACACAAACACAAATCTGCATCCTCAGAGGGCTCGTTTAACTAAATATAGTCACGAGATTGCACAGAGAGAGAGAGAAATTAGCCTTGCGTGAATTATTCAGAGTCTAAAGATAGCAGCCAATCAGTCTTATGGGTAGGGGGACAGGGGGGCGGGCTTGCAGCAATATATGTGGATTTGGTTCAGATTCATGCAACAACGCACCAGGAAAATGGAAAGCTCTCCATATGTGTGTCTGTCCTGTGTGCTTGTGTATGTACGTGTATGCATGACGGAGCACAGAGCCAAGAATCAAGACATCCAACTAATGTGAAGCATCAGCCCACACACACACGCACACGCACACACACACACCATAGTGAGAGGTCACAGAAACCCTGCAGGGCTGGTGCGCGCACACACACACACACACACACACACACACACACACACACACACACACACACACACACACACAAACACACACACCCTTCCTAGCTCTTGGTTCTTCTCCTCCAGTTGTGACTCCAGCTGTCTGAGGCGCTCTTCCACGTTGCCATGACGCTCCTCAGCCTGCAGAGGGAGACACTTACATATAAGTACAACTGCTTCTATCTACAGGCTCTGTAACTTTATTTACATGTATATCTGCTTCTGTGTTTTGTATTTAAATCACTGATTCTTATTCTGTTGCACCTGTATCATTTGCTATGTGTTCCACAGCTGTGTGTTAGTGTGTGTTTGTGTGTGTGTATGTGTGTTACCTTGGAAAGTGCTGCCACTCTCTGTGCCAGTTCAGCTTCCACCTCTGGCAATGTCTCAGCCTTCCTCATGGTCTGAGCCAGCCTCTGCTCTGCCATCTCCAGCATCTCCTGCAGCTGGCGCACCTTCTCCTCGCTCTGACACAAACACACGCACGTGCAAAGAAAGACAAGGGACAGTGTGATCACAAGAGTGTAGTGCAGCCAGCAAGAAGCAAAGACACAACACACGGACATGAGTGGAGGATGTTCCTGGTATTCCCCATTTGGAGCTGAACTCAGATTCACCCTGAACTACACATGAACCTTTGAGTAGGATGCTCGCTCACTCACTCACTCACTCACTCACTCACTCACTCACTCACTCACTATAATATTCTTCAATACCTTACCTTACATTGTCACACTTTAGAAAAACTCAATCGATCTTCTGATTTTATTACCATCTCAGCTTTATTGTTGGTGACATTGCTGGGGCATGAAATATTAAAATGTTGCAAGACATACAGAGACAGGATATTAGACATATGTCACCTCAAGACAAATATGCCATTTTTGGTGTCACTTAACAACACATTATGACTGTAACACATCCAACGAAGCCTGAGCATAGCACAATAATGACACAGCACATGAATTAATATTGATTTCGTCCTTATGTCAGCCTTCATTAACTGATGTTGTTCTTTGTGTTCAGAAACTTAAATGCTTAAATCCCAACCAGGTATCTGTGGAATCAGCTTGGTTTAATGTAACAATGATATTTACTATTTTGAATAATTGTAAAATGTTATGCACATCTTTGTGTGATCTTGTACAGCTAGTGTTGTTGTGTGTATATGTTTGTTACCTGTCGGTGCAGTGAGTCCTTGGTGGCCAGTTCATTCTCCAATTTGTCATTAAGGTCGTGGATGTGTGTGGTCTCCCGCTGAGCAGCCAGGTAGCGTTTCTCTAACGTTGTTATCCTCTCCTCCATATCCTCTCTCTGTGGGTGCACAGACACAACAACAATAACAGGGAGATCATGAGAGAGAAGCCATTTTATGATTGAATGCACATAATCTATACATAAACCTTCATAGTGTATTGTATGAGTGCAGTTTATATACAAAAAAAGTGTGTACTAATGTAATGACAGGAAATAATATAATATAAAAATATACAATGTCATTCAATGTCCAGCAAGAACACACAAAAATCAAGCAAATGCGGTAGGCTTTACCATCAAGCAATAAACTCCAGGAACAATAAACAGAACTGAACTCAAATGTTGACAGACCGAGCTAAAGAAAATCTCTTGTTTTGTTGGTTTTAGTATTTTTCTTTAAAAAATAATCTAGTATGTTCACAACAATAACAACATAATACTGTACATGTTCAGTTAGTCTTAGCCATCTGCTATCATGTAAAGTTTCTATATAGGAGTGACTCTCAATGGCATGGGTCAAAGGTGTATTTTTTAAAATAATGATATAGTAGGGTATTAATGTAGAGCTATGTTTTTTTAAACAAAACAGTATAATGTTTCATTTTATTAACTTTTTACCTAAAAGTGTTTGCAGCCCAGTGTTCTGAGTGCTTGCTTTCAGAACAAAAGCACATTTCCTTTACTCTCACCTCTCTCTGTTCCCTCTGTTGTTTGATTGACAGCTCCTCACTGCGGCTCAGTTCTCTGCGCGCATTCGTGAGCTCGGCCTCGAGCTCGGCCAAACGGGCGTTGAGAGTGGCAGAGTGTTCGCGGCTCTGGGCCAGCTCCTTATTGGTCCTATCAAGCAGCTCCTGAAGCTCAGACACCCGACTGCCATCGTCATGAGCGTCTATGGAGCCATTGGGTAGTCTCTGTAAGGTGGACACACAGAATTATTGGATATATGTGCACATTCTTGCATAAAATGTATTCTAGGACTGAGACACGTATACAAATGTTCATGTTATGCGTTGAGTTTTTTGACAGTTGTAGAACTGATAAAGTTGGACGACCTAGATTAAAAAGTGTTGAGCGTTATGCATAGGAGGGCGGGTTGTGTAAGGTTAGGCAGCCATGTTGTTGTTTTGATGTTGTTTCTCTTCCCTTCTCAGCTCAAAGTGCAGTTAATTCCAGGGCCTTAATTAAACAAACCTTCGGGGACACATATTCAGACAGGCAACACAGTGGGCAGCCAAAGTTAGTAGGACCCCCTCCGCTCCCTCATGTTCCAATTTTGCCTGCTCATGAATACCTTACAGAAACATAAACATACCATGAAACACTGGGGGAAATAGGGCTAAATGGTCTGAAGCAACTTAATAAAACACACCTGGTGATTTGTGCAATTGTGCATAATTCCAGTTTAGCCACATAAACTCAATATTAGATTTACTTCCAGGGACTTTGGAAATAGCAGCTGTAGTACAGCCCCATCTGACTGTCAATGTGTGGAAGTCGGGTACGACATGGCCCTGAGATGGTCTTGGTTGGGGTTCCTGCTAAAAAGGACATGTGGTCATGATCATTTAATGGTGTTTTGAATTAAAAATATCCCCTATAGGGTGCTGGTTGCAGCAACCGGAGGCAGTGAGTGTCAGCAGGACAGCGGCTGTCATGGATAATGCCCTGGCAGTGTGTGTTTGCACAGTTCACACTCTGAGACATCTAACTAAACTCTTCCTCCTAATGCTAGTATACTCTAACAATTCTCTCTTCATCCTTTCTCCCTCAATCGCTGTCTCATCCTCTCATCCTTTCTTAATGGTAAGTTATTGATTTTTCAAGTTAAATTATTGCTTTAAATAAAACTACTGTTGACACTTATATTTGCTTCCTGCGTCCTTCAGCCAAAGAAATAGGAGCCAAAGTAAGTAGATCTCATATTGCTCTTCTCTGGTTGCCCGGCCCGTACAGAGGAAGACGATTTCCATTCAGATACAAACAGGCTCTGCTGTTTAATTGCAGGGAGGTTTGTTACTCCCTGTGGATGGAGCCAGACACAGTTACATAATGTGTGCTCGTTTCAGGGCCCAAACCATGGAAGACAGGGCTCGAATAGAGAGCAAGAGTTTTAATGTTATTAGAACTATCAGAAAGGTAAAGGAAGATTAATTTAGCTCCATTAACCTATCATGTGTATGTGTGTGCGTGAGTAGGTGTCTTAATGTGTGGAAGAAAGACATACTTATGAAGACAGCGATCGACAGCCAGACAGACAAATACTATAGGCAGACATAAGATAAAGCACAGAGCAGAAAAACAATCACACAGCCAGGAAGACCTTCCATGTAGGTTTGGATCCATCTGTTCGCTCCACTGAGTCACCATCCTTCCTTTGTCTCACCATGTTCAACTGAAATGTAGATTAAAAAAAAAAAAAAAAGAACAATGAACAAACTCACACATTTACTATCTTTTCTTTTCCCTCAGTGAATCCAAGAACAAAACTGTCTCCCAAAGGGAACCCTTGGCTCAGGCTGCCAACATTCATCAGACAGCATGCTCTACCATATTTTACATAACTACAATATGAATTATGCTCAGAATAGAGGAGGCAGGGTCTGCTCCTGTGTGATCAGTGCAACTTAATAATACTTTGACTTAAATTCTTATATAACTCACTGTGACTCTGCTTTTACTGAGCCTGCTATGAATATTAAGCATAATTTTATCTTCATAATGATTTCTTTAATGGCATTTTGTACAGTGTGTGTGTGTGTGTGTGTGTGTGTATGAACAGAGGGCTGAGAAGACAGAGCGTCTCACCCAGCGTGACACTTGAAGCATATATGAGATCAGACTGGAGGCTTCAACAGATGTCTGCTTGGGACCGAACAGATGTTTCACTTACCAATAACCACATAAACACACATACACACACCTACACACATACACCTACACACACACACAGTCATGTTCACACAGCTCACCTCTTGCGTGGTAGTTGCTAGCTGTCCCTCCAGGGTGGCCACCCTCTCCAGAGCCACCCGAAGCCTCTCACGTACCTGACAAACACCAAGAAAACACACATCAAGAGAAAGTCCAGAAACACAAGGACACACTTATATGCTGAAGAAGAGACACAGAATATTAATCTGTAAATAAAGAGATCTGTTTTATCTCACAATTCAAGTGTTTGATTTACTTTGCTAGTATAACATATAGTATTTTGTACTAGAAATTTTCATATAGTGGCTGGAGACCTCTATTTACCTCATCTGAACGAAGAATCTTTTTACATATTATACATATTTGTTACATATTATTATATTATTAGGAATTTCTCCCTGTTTTTTCATCTGCTTGAATTTCAAATCATAATTTGCTGTTGCTATTGTTTGCTGTTAACAATCTCTTCCCTCCGATGGAGACCTTAACAATGAATTGATCAGGATTAATTAGCGAGGGAGGACAGCATTTCAAAAGACAAACCAGGAGCAACAAAGTGGTGTGTGTCCCCTGCATGTATTTGTTAGAATGGAGCACAGCCCTTAAATAGGTGTGTTTGGTGTGTGTGTGTTTGTGTGTCCACCTTTTCATCCAGAGCCTTGTGGTGTTCAAACAGCGACTTCAGGGCTTTGAGGACCTCCACCTCGCTGGAGACTCCAGATGGTGGGGGTGCCTGTCTCTTCACCACTGTCATCCTCAGACTGCGTTCGTGACGAGACACCAGACACTCCAGGTGCTCCAACAGCAGCTACAGCAAGTACACACACATACACACATATGAATGCATGCATGACCAAAGAGAATACTAATTTCAAGCTTAGAAGCATTGTTTGTTTTCATCAGCCTCACCACTCACTTGCACTTACATATGCACACACACACACACACACACACACACACACACACACACACACACACACACACACACACACACACACACGCGCGCACACACACACGCACACACACACATACCCTGGTGTTGTTCCTTTCAGCTTTCAGCTCAGATATTTCCTCCTCTTTCTCCAGCAGCTGCTCCCGGCATATGTTCAGCTCCTTCGTCAGGGTGGCAAACTCCTACATACACACACACACACACGCACAAATACAGAGGTTAATACTGTATCACTGATCAACATAATGGGCTCTACTTTAGTGAAACTGGGCACATATGCAGCTGCAATCTCAGGATGCAAAGCGCAAACACACGTGGGCGTGGCCAGAATTTTCAATTTTGGTGGCACAAGCACATTTGTGGCGCCAAGCAGCACAGGATGAGCACATTGTTGACTACTTTATCAGGAGGTGAAGTTAGAGTATACTTAAATATTGGGCAGTTCAGGCTGGCTTCTCCTAAAAGAAAACTTAAATTCTGAGGGATGCTGCATATAAAATTCTTTCTGTGTGCCTGCGATAAGAGGTGGTCGGAACGGGTGGAAAAGACCAAAATGGCACTGTGCTATCTGATCTGCATAAACACAACCTCAGCCACTCTGCCAACCTCAGTGCCCACCTCTGGGATAGCCAGGGAAAAAAGAAGTGGACTTGTGTCTAGTTGGACAAAACAGTCAAAATCAAAAATTATAATAAAAAAGATCAGGATTTTGACTTTTACTGTAGCTGAGACACATTCACAGTGTATTAGCTGTGATTAATTGAAAACAGTCTAGCTGAAATAGGACAGAAATTTGCCAAAGCCATTAGGCTAATGTAATTGTAGAAAACAAAATTGGTTTACATCAACTGTCTGTCTCTATTTTCCCATTAGCAACAAATGGGATTTCCTTCATACAAAAAAACATATCTTTTTGATGCTAGGATTCAAAGACAGCAGAAAAGATAAGGAGTTCGGTCCAGACCTGCTCTATTTAAAAAGTGTCCTGAGATAACTTCTGTTATGAATTGGCGCTATACAAATAAAATTGAATTGAATTGAATTGAAAACATTCTGAACTTCTTCCGATCATGTTATGACTAATTCCATTATATAGTCCAAAAAGCAAATATTATCAAGTGACAACAGTGTTGTCTTAATCTCTGACTATAAAACAACCTTAAAATTCCCAGTGATGATACAACACTTTTCAGTATCAACCTCAGATTATTGAATAATCAAAATGAATTCTTTGCTGTGTGAGAAAAGTGTATTTCACTTGAGAGCCATTTGATTTATTAATGTACATTCTTCACACTCCTCAATGCTGACAGATGCACTTCACTGAAGCTTTTAAGCACTTGCGGCACTCCAGACGTTCTTTATAGCTAACATTTGAGAAATTCGACCAATGAGGTTGAAGTTGGACCACAATGGTTTCTGGATGGTTGGGACCCACTCAGTCTGTCAGAAATGGCATGTTTGAAGCAATTTTCAGTCCAGAATTCAGTCATTTTGTACAAATGAGTAGCACAGCATAGAGTGCAGATGCAATTCTGAGATTCAGAGATGACCTCTTTGTTAATATCATATTGTAACCATGTAGCTTTGATGTAACAAGATAACATCAAGTAGCTATACTGAGTAAGATGAATACATAAAATAAGCTTTGAGGCATTATGGAGGACATACTTCCTAACATTTAAAGGTTTAGTTTCACACCACACATTGAAACATCAATTAAAGAATAGTTTAACATTTGGAGAAGCGAGCTTGTGACTGGAACATTGTTGGTTCAACCCCAGGGACAGGCAGGATAAATCTGCGTGGGGAAAGTGAAAGGTAGGACATGCCCCTTACTACCACTTAGGTGCCTTTGAGCAAGGCTCTCAACCCCAACCACTCCAGTGTGAATGTATTACTGCATGAATGTGATCAGGGCGTTCCTGAAAAAGAGAACATTGCTCTCAAACCCCCTGAATAAATAAAAAGATGAAAAGCTGTACACTAAATATGAAGCCAAAGGCAGCAGCCAATTAGTTTGCATAAAGAACGGAAACAAGCTAGCCTGACTCTGTCCAAAGGTAACAAAATCTGCCTACCAGCACCTCTAAAGCTCACTGATTAACACATTGTATCTTGTTTGTTTAAGCTTTAAATATTATGCTAGGTAGATCTTGTTATCTTGGAGTCAAGGTAACTGCTTCACCCTGTTTTTGGATTTTAAACTAAAGCTAAGCTGTCATACAAACATTTGAGGGTGGTATCAATTTTCTTCAATAAATCTTGGTAAGAAAGTGAATATGCATATTTCTCAAAATGTTAAACAAAACAGATATTTGATGTGCCTGATATAGTGCATATATGAAAAGAATGTACTTCTGTACCTGCTGTTGAGTATGCAGTGTCTAGTTTCTCTGTGTAGTCACAGCCGACTCCCACACTACTCAAGACAGCAACACCATCCTTCCACAGCTCCACATACAACCTCATATTGCAAATTTGATGGAGATTTTATGCTCTTTTGGAACCGTAAAGAGATGGCTCCATTAACTTTAATAGTTTGTGAGAATGATGTGATGGAACTGCAGCACTACTCTGCTGTGTGTTTGGTTTTTACAGTATATAAACTTTAATAGCATTTCACCTGGCTGTTCTTCATGTTGTGATGAACTAGTCCTTTAAAATCACAGTGGTCAAAGGCGGTCAAAGGTCTGTGGAGACATCATAACACATAATAAAGTATTGAGATGTTACCAATAGGTTTTTCTATGACTGACAATATCTGATATATATCAACCTGATGCAGTAGACCATCTATTACTGCAGTATCAGATGTCTTTTTCTAAAAATGATAAGGTTCACCTGCTTTGGTCTGGGATTATAAGGTCTTCACATTCTGTCTTGTGCAGATGAAGTGTATCAGTGTAAACTGATCCTCAGACCAGTCTCTTCGTTCTGATCAGTGGAAGGGTGAAATGTCACTCCCTGATTTTGTCCTTGTACAACTAACATTTCATGATTTGTCTGCTATCTAAGCAGTTCATTCTTATGTCAGAGGGTGTTTCTCTGTCTCCGAGCCCCATACTTAATCCACTTGCCCGTATGATTTTCTGTCTGCCATCGATTAGATTCACACAAGATGAAAAGCTGCCGTTACAGCGGGAGACAACGAGCCAATGACTCACACAGTTTTGGCTGGAGGTTGATTTTTAATTTTTTCTGTGGTTTGATCACGCTGGAGCAGAGATTGGGTGGCTGTTTATTTACTGTGTGTGTGTGTGTGCATGTGTGTGAGTCTGTTTGTATGTGTGTGCTTGTTGTTTTAACGTCTCTTGGTGCTTTGTTGGCATTTCCTGTAAGCTTGGCTTTAGTCCAAAACAATACCCAGAGGCTCATGTACTCTCTGCTTGTCTCAAACACACACACACACACACACACACACACACACACACACACACACACACACACACACACACACACACACACTTTTTGAAGTCCTGGTACTCCATGCAGCTATGACACTGCACTCTTGCACTCTCATGTTTCTCACTGCTGACCCAAACACTGAGCATGACTAAGAAATGCTTCTTTAAAGTTTAAATCAGGGACATTCCATGTTGCTGCTCTTAAACTCTAGCAAAGATGGCAGAGCGTAATGTGCCAGACCTGGTTCAAAATGCCAATACAGCAAAACACCTGTCAATACACCTGACACCAGTCTGGGCCTATCAAGAAGATAGCTGTGACCAGAACAGGTGTGACTGTAAAACCAAAGTACGAACAGAATCTCGACCCATAAGAAATGGATAAATATGCAATATAGGGATAGTGTATGCCTTGTGTATGACACATTCTGGCCTTTAGTTTCACAGTTTGATGGATCTGGATAAAAAGAAATCAAACTCAATAAGGGTAAATGAACAATAAAGGATCAGAAACAAAAATTGTGATCTGGACATCCGTACTTTTGACAGACCTCTTTGATTTTCAAATGAAATTGATACCAGCCACTTCAGTCTCTGACTTTGGGTCCATTGCCCTGACTGGCCTGTTCAGTTATTCATCAATAACCAGCCCCATCTTTCTTGTTACGTTACCACCGCCGTTGCACATAATGTTTCACACCTCCTTCATGGAACTCTGTGTCTAAAGCCCTGCATGATGTTTATCAAATGGACTGAAATCAAGTCTGCCTGCAATCAGAGAAGTGATTTGAATGTCATAACACAAATGTGTCTCTCTAAATTTGCCCTGTCCTGTAAACTGGCATATAATGTTTTACTTTAGACAGAGGTGGAAGAAGAACAGTGTAGAAATACTCTGTAACAACTCCTACATTAACTAAATGACTTAGTATTAGCACCACATTAGATGTAAATTACCAAAAGTAGAATTATTAATTATGCAGAGGGGTCCATTTGAGAATAACGCATATAATATTATTGGATTATAATTAGTTGTGCATTAATGTGTTCATCACTTTAATGTTGCAGCTGGTAAGGTGGAGCTGATTTTAATTACTTGCTGAGTGGCTTAACCTATAATAAGAGATCATAATTTGTTAATTGATTTATATTTTGTGCTTATAATCTAAATCTGCAAAGTAACTCTGAAATATAATGGATTAAAGTAGAAGCAAAAAATGGAAAATACATAAATAAATAATAAATAAATAGAAAAGTACAAGCAAATTGTAAAAATTGACCAGTACTTTTGTAAATTTTAGTTACATTCCACCACAATGTGATATAAAAACAATACATCAAGTGGGACAAGCAATACACACGGTGTAGTGGGAGTGGGAGTGGAGTGGAGTGGGGCGGAGTGACGGGAGAGGGAAGAGAGAGAAATGGAAGGAGCATCGGGAGGAAAGGGGGAAAATGGGTCAGCGTGTTCATTTTACTTTCCCTTATTCCACAGAGGCGCACCAATAGACGAGAGCTCAGCCCAAATCCACCAACAGATGTTAGAGCTCACTGTGTCTTTCAATCGTGGCAAAAAGGCTCTACAGGCCACCTCTTGCGCTCTCTACTTCATCTGCTCATCCCATCATCCCTCTGCCTTTTAGAAGCTCTCTGCATCTCCTCACAACCACTTCACGCCACCCCCCTCCAAAAAACAAAACAAAAACAAATGTGAGAAACATGCACAGACAAATACCTATGAATAGATAAAGGCATGAATACATAGCGTCTGTATT